ACAGATGTACTTGGAAATTATTATTAACTGGCCATATTTTAGTACTGACTATATTTGATATTGTTATACATTTGCTTTTTTTCTTTTAAAAAGAAAACAAACTGTAACTTTACTACTGTTCTATCTATGTTTGTTATTTTCTGTACAAACAGAATAAATGTTTCTGGTAGACGGAAAGAATTTTTATGATGAAGCACCAAATATTGTAAATTTAAATCTAGAATTTTGTTTTAGCTTTTATTCTTCTGAGCTTCTTATGGTAGAATAGATCAGGAATAGGTTTGAATAAGTAAATAGGATCAGCTGTCATTATGTATTGAAATCACTTTAATGTATTCATTCCATTCTTGATCTATTGAATTGAGTCATTTCAGATTGTTCACAAGTCATTAATGTTTGAATTCTTTTACAGAATATCAAAAAAATATTTTACAATATAAATACAATTGAAAAAACATGAAATAAACAAAAAAACAACAAAAAAACAAAACAAAAAAAAACATGAAATTGATTGTTAATCATTTTAAAAGGAAGCTGACATTTTGATTAACCACACGGGAATGAAGTGAATTCATATATTTTATCCATTAGCAGTATTGGAGTTTAAAACAAAAAACATTTCTTTCACTTCAATTAAAAAAAAAAAAATGAAATTTGCTTATTTTATGTTTTTAAAATGTCATATTTTTTTTCTTGCGAAAAGAAAAAAAAAAAAACAAACAAATATCTGGAGGCATTAAATAAAAAATTGGAAAAAAAAAAGACAATTTCTTTCTCGAAAGGTTTTATAAATTTAGTGCAAAATTGATTTTATAGCAAAGGATATGAAATATTTGATGTACAATATATAGAAAATGGAATTATTTACTGTATTTTTAGTTTAACATGTCCATTATTGTTTAGATTTTTCTTTTAAATTTAATTAAATGCTGCCTTTAATGGCATTCACTCAATGTCAAGTCAATTTCTATTTATAGAATTTAGATTGATTATTTGCAAATGCCAATCATTAAGTTTTAAAGATTTTTCCATAATTTTAAGAAAAAGGGAAACAACTCTGTACTTAGCAATTAATAGACTTGGACTTATCTCCCTTGACTTTTTTTTTTTTTTTTTTTTTTTGACTTCTTTTTGTCATATTTAATGAAAAAATATTTTGAAATTGATGGCTCAGTTGAACTGGAAAATGCTTCCTTATTTATTAGAGCACTTTAAAGTATTTAACTGTAAAGTGATTTTTTTTTTTATTATTTATAAAAATTAATTTATTCATTAAATTAAACATTCTGAAAATGAAAAATAGAGAGCCTTAAAGCTACACTAATTATTAGTTATTAATTGGAAAATTGTTTTGAATTGATAATTTTATGACAAGAATCTAGTTTAAAAAAATGGATAACTAAAAATATTTTCTTATCCCAGTTATTCATATTTTAAATATATTTTTCCAGTTTTTAACCCAATATATTTTTTTTAGTATTTTTTTCTATTAACAAATTTATGAAATCTTCAATAAACATTCTTTAGATCCAATGTAACCATAAATAATTGTTTTTTCAAATTTTAGGAGTAGGATAAAAAAAAAATATTGTGATAATATTATATGGCTAACAACTATGATTCTGTAGAAAAATTGTTATTAATCTTTAGTTCATTTGCTATGGTTAAGAGCACAGAAAATGGAACTGGAGAACCAAGTTCCAGTTCTTGCTGAGACAGTTTGTATTTACATTAATGCTTTTGAAAAATGAATGAATTGATCTCTTCTCTCTTCCTTCCCAGCTATTGATTAAATAGCAGCACATCTAGTCTTAGCTGGCAACCAGTCTAGGAGAAGAACTTAATTCAAAACTGGATGAGTAAATCACTATATTTTCCAAGAACTATAGCAAAGCACAGTTTAGATAATATAGAAAAGAAACCGTGGAGAACCATAATCACCTATATCCCAAAGGCACCCTAAGAAAATATCTGTTTTATATATATTGTTGTTCCTTACCACAGGATGCTACTTATCTTTCCTGTAGCTATTAAATAAACCAGGGTTATGACAGACAATTCCAAGTTTATGCTAGATGATTGCCTTGCACATGGAACTTTGAGTAGCATCTTGTGGTAAGGAACAATGATATATATTTAAAAAATTATATCTTCACTCTGTTCTTTCACATTGAGTACTGTGATTTTGTTCACATCACTCACTGTGACAGATATATAAAATGTATGTCTAGGCTACTTAAGCTTTGTCCTTTTGGTCAGGGATCTTCAGGCCAGGTTATAATTTTGTAAAAGTTAGAATTTGCCAACAAGTGTGCTTATATAATAATGAGGATTCTAAGTGGTGTTAGCAAAACAGAGAAATGTTCATTTCTCTAAGTAAATCTAAGTGAGCATAATACAAAAAGTATAATTTCTTTTAATTGTGGTGTATGACTTTCAGATTTCCTTAAATGAGGCGAACATTAGAAAGTTCCGAAGACATTTTTAGTTGGGTTTCAGTTGAAGAATGCCAAATCAAAATAGAATGGTAAAACAATATTGAATCTCTTTTCTTTGTTGTTTAAAAATGATCTTGAATAAAAGAAATTGATTTATGTTCAGTTATGTATGAAATCAGGGATTTTAATTATAGAAGTAAATGTTAATGATCATTTCAAGACCAATTTATTAAGAATTCACCCACATCTTTAGCAAGTGAATTTTAAATTGTCTGCAAAAGCTGATTTTGTAGAGTCATCAAATTCAGAACGATAAAAAATTTGATGTTTTAATATTAGAAAAAATGGCAAGAATAAGATTTTTAAAATGGTTTCAGTGACAAGAGGACAAGTTTCCATTCTGTTGATAAAATTTGTTACTGGAAATATTGAAACACATTGTTCCCAACCAAAATTAAATAAGATTAATAAATAATTAATCTTCAGTGCCTTTTCTTTCTTCCCCAAAACTATGTTCATACCATTGAAGATATTGGAGATTAGTAAAAAATATTAATGAGACTGATAGTTTAAAAGTATTTTTTTTTGTTTGTTAATTCATATTATCTATGACTAATGCACAAGGAGTTTAAAAACTACTTTTATGGAGGTTTTAGGGGATCCAAAGGCACTAAGGTTGGGAATCAGAAGGCTCGTGGCATATGGGTGGAATTTTATGACCTTGGTTTATAACAAGTCAGTCCAATTCTGGCTGTTAGAATGAAATTACTACAAAAATAATGAGACCATTAATATTAGTGTTCAAAAGGAAAACTTTATTTTGTTTTTAGAAAATGGTGAAAATATTCAATTTATTTTTTAAAAATAATAAATTCATTTTTTAAATATAAATTTTTATTCTTTTAACAACAAAAGCAAAGCACTTGTTTCAGCTTGAATGTAAAAGTGGAAACAAAGACCAAAATATATTTTGCAGGTAGAGTAGTGAAATGGTGACAGCATAAAAAAGTGTGTATGTGGGGGTGGGGGGGGTTTGCTTCAATAAAAATTAACATCTATGAAAGTAGTAAAGATGTAAACAACAAAATATTTAATTCAGTTGTAGTGTTTTTGATTTGGAGTGGGGGGGGGAGAATAAGACTGACCTTTATTAATGATAGCTTTAAAAACAAAAAAAAATAAAATGTGGTAATTTATCTTAATTGGAATAATAAATCAGCAAGGGATAATGCAAATCCTATTATTCGCAGTTTTTAGACTAACCACTTTGAACTTTGAAAATACTTTGGCATTTAGTTGAAAGAAAGTTTGCTTATTTAGGCCAATTTTTAATCAATATCTTATCCAATTATGCTTTAATGTCATGACATTGTTCATTAAGTAAAAAGCATTTTTTTTTTTTATTCTGAGTTATCTCCCTTGGAATTCTGCAAATTTATTTTACGTAGGCAATTCAGTTTTTTTTCGACTTTTTAAAAGAAAAGAAAAAGATACTGGATTTACATCCTACGGCTCATTTTTTTTTAATATTAACCTAGTCTATTGATTAAAAGCCTTCATTGAATGATCATTGATATGTTAACTATTATGGAATATATATAAATAGTAAGTGTAACTTCATATTTGTTTCAATTTTCTTTGAAGACCAGTTGGGGAAACAATTGTGAATGCTAGCAATTTAATATCAATTTTTAAAAATATATTTTCAAAGTCAGTCATTGTTTTTTTTTTTTTTTTTTTAATTGGTAGTCAAAATGATTTTATATGTACAAATCCATCCACTACAAAATGAACATCTACTCCCTCTGTACCAAACACTAAATTTAACAAATATTATAGGACAGAGGTAGTAATTGTTTACCTTGAATTAAAAATGAATAATTTTTTTTTTTTTTAATGTGAAAATATCATAGGCAGGACTTAAAGAAATATTAGAAGCCTCATATAAGTATTTTTTTTTTTTTTTTTAAACTAGTTGGTGGGTAGATTGAGGTAATTTTGAATTATGAAGAAAGCATAATGTCATATGAGAAGCAAATCTGGGAAATGGAGGTTCATTAGCAAAAAGATATTTGTGGATAAGGGAATAAGATTAAAAGAAAGAATTCCCCAATGAATTTTCTTTATGAAAATAAAAACCATCATTAACATTTTTTTTAATGTCATAAAAAATAATAAATGATCTGATTTTTGGCTTTGGATAAACTATTTGTTTGGTATGATAAATTTTTTAATTACATGATACTGCAAAGATGAGTCATTAAATTTAGTCATATTTCAGATTTGATATTACAGAAAGACTATTTTAATTTTTGTTTTAAAATAATCTCACTGGTCAAGAAAAGAAGATATTGATTGACAGATGTTGTGATGATAAGATGTCATTCAATTTTGCACTGAGTAGTTAGCATTTGGCAACTGTGTCATGAAAAAAAAAAAATCTAAGTGATAAAAAATGATTTTCAATATTTTTTTTTTCATGTTTGAAAACTGATCAATTTTTCAACCTCGTTGTTTTAAAAGGTTATCTCCCCCTTCACTGTCTAACTTTTTTTTTTCTCTTCAACTTGTATCGATTCGTATCAGCCGCAGTTTAAAATGGTCTGCCAAAACGCAGGCAGCTTCGTTAGAGCCTCCGCAATATCCTGAGGATGAAAACACGGTCAACAGTTTCCCTTCTTGTTGTACCTGAAAAAGAAAAATTAAATAGTTTGAGGTAAGCAAGAATAAACTAAATGAAATCCTAAATTGCTGTTTTTTTTTTTTTTTTTTCCCTTCTTTTGGCTTAAGAATCTGGTGTCCAGTTAGTGTTTCTTAGAATGGGAATTTAATAAGTTACTGAGACAGGCAATATTACTTTCATACCAGATGTATCCTGGGATCTGTTTTTTTCCTACTTAAAGTGGGATTCTATGAACCAAACCAAAAAGTGGTGGTAAGAATTTTTCCAATTAGTAGGCACAGATGAACCTAGGTGGTTGAATAGGTCAATTAAATAGGGAAGTAGTTGTAGTCATAATCTGGTTGTCAGGGATCTCTGGGCTGTATGGCAGAATGATTTGCAAATATCCTGAAGTCTGTTCAATCGCACATTCTGCTCATAGTTCCATTGCAGGAACACTTAATTCACAAGATACTGTATGTATCCAATCAGAACATTTTTTTTGTGTTATTTACTGGCATGATGGAAAATTGTATTTTTTTTTTTTTAATGAACAGTAAAATCATTGTTCAAAGGTTGATTCAGGAAATACTTGTCCAGGATCTTAAAAATCTCATTGGCATTGGGGAATGTTTACTGAGTGCCAATGCAGTAGCCATTCCTGTGATTGAAGTTTCAGAGAAGCAATACTAGAGCTTCCATCTTGATTTTAATAATGACTAGAGGTATCACCATCATTTTTATTTATTTATTTTTTTTTTTGTGAGAATAGCTTTTGAAGACAATCAATCTTCATTATTGTAATGTGTTGCTAGATCAGCATAAACAAGTTGAACCAAGTCATCCTTGGAATCCACTGTAGCAATGTTGATGTGGGCTTCCCATCTCATGTCCATTAAACCACAATCATGATGGCTTACACTAATAGCTGCTTCTACCAGTGAGTGTATCCTATCAACTTGTGAGATTGAACATCATTCTTTTGTTGTCTTCAGGTTAGTTCTATTATGAAATATAAGTTATTGGTATGCATGATCTGTTTCTCAGCATATTCTAAAATCAACTCTTGTTGTTCTTGAAAATATTGCTGAGCTTGACTTTGGCAAGTTCTAGTTCTTCAGCTTTGATCTTTCTCTTTCCATTTCATTCATTTTATGTCTCCTTGCTTGCTGACATAGTCTTGTTACTTTCCTGCAAGAAATTCTACATTATTAATCTAAATTTTGTCAATAAAATGTGATGAACAAATTTCACTTAGAACAGATAAGAGAAGAAATTCTGTTGCATGTTGGGAGTGGGGGGGTAGCAAATTTCTGTTACTTGTTGTTGATGAAGAAATGGATAAATTCTTGGTTTCTTCCCACATATATATTACATCAATGCAAAAGTTTGTACCCGATTAGAAAATTAAAAACAATTTTACATACACAAAAAAAAAAAAAAAAATCTTTGTAACAACTTTCTCTCATCATTCTACAAAGTTGTTGATGCCATTTTAGTAGAAAGTGTTTTCATCCTCCATCTTTTACTCCACCCTTTCCCCATTCATACTTCCTGTTCATTTCATGGCAAGAGAATTGGAGAAAGACAGATGGCTATATTGCATATGTGTCACACTTTTTTTTACAGAGTGCACAGATGTGTTGACCCATATGTAAATAATCCTGTCAGTTTTGATGGAGAGAATTTACTTATTGCTGCACACTTGTGGACAGTTTCAGCCTCTAAGCTAAGCTTAAGAAATACCTAAAAGTAATATTGTTTGCTTACCACATCAGAATAGCATAGCAAGTTCCATTTGTGAACCATATTACTGTATATTTGAGGCTAGTGGGAATCACGTGTCTCACTATTTCTATACTTCATAAGTAACTATTATGTTTATATTCCAGTTTCATGTTTCTACAAGGGTAGTTGTATTTTTTGTAATAAAGAGACCATCACTAACCTGGAAGCCAACCTGCTGCACTTCATGTGCTCTGATGACATGAGACAGACTGTTCAGCTGGAGAAATGATTTAAGTGCCGAACAACTGAATACATGTGCTGTCCCTCGACGTTTGTTATGTGCAAAACCTTGGTTATCTTTCAGATTCTGAAGCATTTCAGGTGTTAATTGATCCAAGCTAAAAAGGAAAGAAAAATTAATATTCCTGTTATTCAACAAATTTTTTTTTTCTTACCTTTTTACTGATTATCAATCTGCAGTGACGTATTTTCAGCATTAGCAAATTTTTCTGATAGGCTTTATTTTTCTTTTTAGCCAGACTTCTTTTGATGTTGTGTAGATTATTTTATTTTTAACCCAATAAGTGTAACAAAGTCCACTGTCCTCAAAATGGAAACCTATAATTAATGCCGGATTTTATGGTTACTATTAATGGGCAAAAACAACTGATATAAAAAAAAAAAAAAATGCTCAACTCAAATGCTTTACTATAAACATTAAATGCTACAACTTACCCATCGTTTCAGTCAAGTAATTATAGAACAATGAATTGAGAAGCCTAACCCAATTTCAAAATCATCTCATTTATGAATTAATTGTAATGATCTGTCTTTTACAAATTCAAAAACTGATATTTGTAGAATACGTTGAAAACTTGGCTCATTTCTGTTTTATACATTCAACTTATTTGATCACAAGCAAATTGATCATAATTTTTTTTTCTTGAATTTGATCAATAAGGTCTGTTTGAATTTTTTTATTAGCATCATATTTTCAAAGTCAGCATATGAGAAATCAAAGTTTTTAAAGAAACTGATAAAAGTTCATAATACGACCATCATTAGTCATTATCATGAACATTAATGTTATCATTTTAAATACGTATAGAATGAAATAAATAAAATGACAAAATACTGAATGTTTGATAAAATCCAATTGGCAGCTGATCTCAGAAATTAACTGTAACAAAAAACGGTTTGTTAATTTTAACACCTCCAAAAAAGAAACTACTCTATTAATCATCTTTAGGAACCTTTTTTTTTTTTTTTGGCCTTCCATCAGCATAGCTGATACTAACTCACTTGGTTATACTTTTTCCACTGCAATTGCTAGGAAAAACAATTTTTCTCACCAGAATCTATATTGCACATTTATAAGTCTACCATTCATCAAATATTGCTGTCATATTTAGTCTGGTGTTTCTACAATATGTCAAAAAATTCTTGACAAAATCTTAAGAATCAGTTATTTTCCACTACCATAAAGAAGCTTCCCTATGCTTTTTCTATAACTATTTTCATGGTCTTTCTTCATTGGTATTAGATTGGCAGCTAGGTGTCATAATTTCAGTGTTGTAACTAAGTTTGGTGCTAATAGCTTCTTCCCATACTTCTCTCTTTGGAGCTATTCAATGTTTCAGTTAATCCCTTTCTTTTATTGTCCTCTCTCTGTTTCTTTCCCTCTCAGTAAACCTCTTGCTTTCTACTAGCTTTTATTGCCTTTCTAGTGTGTGTGTGGGGGGGGGGTGGATCATTTTGCTCAAGATTAAACATACATGTCATACAGCTGAATTACAGTAATTGATAACATACACACTTTGTTTTGGGATCTGTATATTAATGGTACTTAGAATTCATATTAATAGATTGTATATCCTCATTGGGCAGTAAATGGGCCTCTAATTGTGCATGGATATTATCATACTGATGATGGATACCATCCTGAGATGCATTATTCCACACCTTTTTTTAATAGTTAACAATACAAGTTGAAGATGGTTGAACTGAACAAGTCAGGCCTCATTCCATCATGTTGCATATATGTCCAACCATGTTGGCAAGAAACATGTTAAATGGCATGAGTATCATGTGGGTACAGACATTATCCTCCTGGAACAATACATTGCCTTTCTGTAGCAGAAATGGGTGAAACAGCATTCTGAGAGTACATGACATTGCCCAACATTTTCTCCACAAACACCAAAGATAGGTGTATTTTGAGGAGTGGATTCTGTGTGTTATGGGTGAGTACATTCTGGAAGATGTCCTCCTTCCATTACTCCCAGATCAATGACATGTATGAAAATAGATCCTCCTCTTATCACTGGAAATTATAGAAGTGTGTGTCTTACTGCAATTGAACATTTCACAGTGATTTATGTTGACACTCTTGGTTTGACAATGTTGCTACTATTTGGGGGGAAGATCTGTACTATGTGGCTTTTATGTAAGAAGGATAATTTGAAAATACTCTGAAATGACCAACCAGTCTCTTGATGGCTTGCAATTGTATTCCTCTAAATCAGTTTTCATTGAACAAGAAGGAGCATCTATAAGTATCTATGATGTCTATTTTCCCAACACACTGAACCTTATTGTAACATGCATCCCCGTCTAAAAGTTCGGAGGCAGATAGTGGATGACTATAATGACCTAAGACTTTGAAAATTTGATCAGAATATCTACTTACCTCCTAGTGTGCGCATACTGTATCATTTTTCAAAATGATGAAATTGTATGGTTCTGTCAGTGCATATGTATTTATAAAGTAGTTAGTCTATTCAGAGTCACATAATTTGGCAGAACATAACAATCAAGGTATTATTAAATTTTAAAAGAATTCTCTAGAGTTAAAAGATTGTTTTAAAGGGGATTGTTTTTGTATAAGAAAAACTTCAAATACTTGTTTTTTTTTTTGTTTTTTAGCAGAGTAATTGTATAGAAAAAAAAAAACTAGTCAGTAATAAGTATGCACATGTAGGGGGGGGGTTGAAAAGTTCTCAGAAGCCCTTAAAAGAAAATACTCATGCAGTTTGTGTCATTTGGTCAGATTTTGGAAAGAGTTTCAAGAACTTTTTACATGCATACACAAAATATTATTTGTTGATTTATTTATTTACTAGCCTAAGAGCCATCCTTTGGGTGCACTTTAAGCTAGCTCCTGTAGAGGGCCTTTTAGGCCTTTGTCCATCAGTATCCTATGTACATAATAGAAATAATTGAATTATTTTATCTTTATTCAACACCTTAATTCGTCAGTAATTTTTTTTCATAATGAAACTAATCTCCATAGTTTATTTACATTTATTTTGCGTGTAATTTTTATTTTCTTTTAAAATCACCATTCTTTATAATCCCTTTACATAAAGTCACTCTTAAAAGACATTAGGAAACTCAAACTATGTAATATTTCGAATACATCACGGTATGTGTGCTAGAAAAAGAAAAAAAATTAGCAATGTACCATGCCCCACTTAAGTTTTACTTAGAAAATACCAATTGCAATTGTGATGAAAACTGAAATTAAAGTTAAACCTTTATGTCACTACCTGTTACTTCAGGTTGTTTATGATTCACTAAGATTGAAAAATGGATGAACACACATACATTGTGCTTTATTTATATAGACTTATTTATTGAGATGATCTAATTTGTTTTATTTAAGGCTTTATTTTTTTCTTTTGTAAGTAAATATTGCATTAACAATATTTTTGAGAATGACAAGAATTTTTCCAGATACAAGTTCTACTATTTAACCCAGAAGGATTCATACCTTTTTCCACCCCCAAAGGTATTTGCATGTAAGTAGATGTTATAAATCTGACTGGAATTTGAACTGTCACTATCGATTACATCATCCACCCATCCCTTGTTTAGAAAATTGTTCTAAACTAAAACAATACCTTGGTTTCCAACTAGGCTAAAATTATTAATGGAATCATGGAGCAACTATGAAATTTGTTCTATAATTTTCTTGAAAATTTCTTTAGGCAGAGTAAGAAATTCTCAAACCAACTTACCTGATTGGATCATTCCACATCAATTCCCAAGCAAGTGGACTTTCTATTTCTGGGTTTGGTAAAGGCACAGGGATGCTATTAATGATCTCCATTTTTCCATTCCCATGAAGAGGACTAGGGATTCCTCCATGGGCACAAAAAATCTGAAACATTAATAAAGTTTTTATGTTAACCACTTATCTGAAGGCAGAAATCTTTCTTTTAGAAAAATCTTTTCTCATTCAAGCAATAAATAATAATACACAATCTACAGGCAGAACTCCGTGATTTTAAGAACACAATTGCTTACAAAGAAAGCCATAAGCAGCTTTTTTTTCTCTATTTCCCATTAAGGCTCATCAATCCATAACAGTGTTGATTTAAGAAATGACTGGTTACATTTTACAAATTTATAATCTTTGCAAAAATCCTGTAGTTATAAATTTTCAGAAGATATTTTAGAAATTGATAAAATGCAAACTATATATTTTTTTCAGCACTCATAAAATATACTTAAAATTATTTATTAAAATAAATTATTTAATGTATGCTGCTAAAAGAAATGTTTTTAAAATTTAAAAAAATAAACAAACTGTTCTCATGATTTAATATTTCAAGAATGCTAACTTGCCATAAAAAACATGCCAAATTCCAGCCAAGTTTGTTGCATTCATTTTCACACTAATTCCCTTGAGAAAGGCAGGCTTCGATTTCTTATCGAATCACCCAGGCTACAGGTTAAATAGCAGAGTAAACTAGGTGTTTTGGCTTTGGGTCTAAAAGGTCTACATCAAATTTAAAACCATGGAGAATGTAATGGGGAAACTACTACCTTTCTCAAGAAGACATGGCAGTTCACAGATAATAAACAAAAGAAATTTGTGAAAAGCCATAATTCACATCTTGAATTTTTTTTTAAATAACCAGTTTAAAAGAAAAGTATTTTCAAGCTTGCTGCATTGACTATTTCATGTGAACAATTTTCATTTTGTGAATTTTTATCAAGAGAAGTTTTTTTTTTTTTTTTTTTTTTTTTAACAATAGATTAAGAATATTTTGTTTTATTATAGGTTGGATCTTTTGAAGTATGAAACCTGCAAAGTGTTAAAAAGGAACAGGAAGTCAAACTATGAAATTCTTATGTAGAGAATAAAATGGAACATTTTCAAAAGAAATTGAAAAAAACAAAAACAAAACATTAAACCTTTCCATCAATGACAGCAGCCAAAGGCATGTAGTCAAAGCATTCATTCACTGCTTCCCAGACCCGCTCACCAACAGCCTCGCCAAATTTGGTCAAACATTCACTGAAAAGGTAAAATTTAGCTTTTAAGTCTTTTTTTTCACTGTGATAAAGTATTTGTTTAATGATAATTTGAAGTAGGATTCTAGGTTTCATTTTTGTTGATTTCACTTGATACATTTATCTTAAATGTAATTGACAAAATTCTCAACAAACAATAAGGAAAAAAAAAAACAGTAAAATAATATTAAGCAAACAAAATATATATAATATGCAAGTCAAAAAAAGAAAGAAAAAGCAGCAAAGCAACAGTAATAAAACAAAGTTCACAAAGTAAGAATTGTATTCGCATGAAAAATATATAAGTTATAGTGTTTTGACATGAAGGCAAGAAAGAACAAAAATGTGTTGTATGAGTGAGAATTGTAACCATTTTTATTGGTTAAGAAAAAATCCCAGCATGCATCTAATTTGTGGGATTTGTCTATCAATTTGAGGAGGTGGGGATATTCTTAGCTGTCATTCCCCAATGATTGCTAATTAGCAAGGCACTGTCCAATTCTTTATATTGACGTTGGAAGCCTGTCTGACATTGATAGGTTCCCATGGTTGTGGCTTGTAGATTCAGTTCTTTAATGTTCAGGTTGGTTTTAAATTCTACTAGAATTGTAATGAATAATGACAATTCATACAACATAAATGCTATAACATACAGGTGCAGTAAGATAGAGAGGAAAAAAAAAAGTTAGATTTTACAGGCTAAAATATATAGGCTACTCAGTGTAGCTCCTTCCTACACCAGGCACCCATACTAAACAAACAAGATATGAGGTTTATTTGTTATATATTCCCAAATAAAGTGGTAAAGTAATTATATATAGAATGATGCTCTTTATTCTTGTTAGAAGTCTGAATCACATCTCTCTACATGATTATAAGAGATGACCCTGTATTAAGTAAAATAAAATAGCCACTCTTGCCATTGAAGATGAAGCAAAAAGAATGACTATAACCTTCCATAATGTAAATCCTAACACTGGCTTAATGTGGCTGGAAATAAAGAGTGTGACCATTGCAAGACAATGTAAAACTCAGTTGTGCCTTGAAAAAATAAGGCTCTTTAAACCAAACTTTTAAAACCTCAGGTATTTTGTTACCATTAGGTTTATTTTTGTGAATGCTTGCATATCTTTTCAACCCATCAAATGACTTACACATTCTTTACTTCTTGCTGATTTAAACCTTATCATTACTGACCTCCTATCTAACAACAAAGGACATTGTCTAAATAAAAAAAATAATTACTTAAATTAAGAATGTAACCGATTCTGATCAGACATCTTTACTTCACTTTCTCACAAACATCTTTTTTACATTTTAAATATTTTTATGACAATTGTTTAAGAAAGCTGTTAGATTGACAACTATGTCTCTCTCTCTGTTTTACTAACTAGATGTAACTGTCACTTCTACTCTAACAGTTTCTTTTTCCACACTTCTCACCTGTGGAACTCCCTTCTGATTCCTTGTTTCCCTGATAACTACAATTTTCAAAAATTTAAATTTATCATCAATTGCCATCTTCTGTCTTAAACCCTCTTCCTTTTTTTTTTTTTCTTTTTGTCCTTTCCTCAATCCTCCCCACTCTCTTTCACTCCCTGTAACCTCCTGCATCATAGTAGCATTATGGGGTAAAACAATAAAACATTACTACTTGGTCAGGTTTGGAAGAGAACTTAACTGAAAATAAGCTTCGTCTCAGGTGTTCAATACAAAAGGAGAGTTGACAGGAATTGGAATTTTTGTCAATAGGCATTGGAGGGGGTGGGGGTACTTCCTTTAAAAAAAAAAAATCACCCACTCCATCCCTTTTTATTAGGCAGTTTAGTATTACTCTTTATTGTAATCAAGATGGTATTATTTGTAAACCAACCAACCAAACTATCTAACTCTGCAACACTAAAAAGGACTGGCTTGAATCAGTAAAAACAAAAGTATTTAAAAAGTGTTAAAAAACAAAAAAATTATACTCACGCTTTAAAAGTAAAAACCTCTTGTATACCACGTGTCTCATGGTTACCTCGAAGAAGATAAAACTTTTGAGGAGAAAGAAGCTTCTGAGCTAAAAGATAAGCCACAACCTAGAAAAAGACAAAAAATGTGCTGCATAAATTGATTAGGCCCTGTCATGGCTGTCTATGAGTGTAACAGCTTTTTAATATTACTAAATTAGCAGATGATATAATTATTGGAGAAATGCTTGCTCATTCACTTTTTCCTTTGTCAACCTTTTATATGTTTAATCAAAGACCAGTGGACATTGTTGAATGATATGAACAGGTTTATTTCATTTGATAATAGGAAAATTTAAAGCCACAGTTTTGAATTTTGGTATTAGAGAGAGAGAGGAAAAAAGTACTTGATTTTAGACAAAAATTGTTCTACCTCAACACTATGTTCTCCTCTGTCAACATAATCTCCCAGAAATAAGAATGACGCAGGTGTAAGTAATGGACCCATCCTCCATAAAGATTTTTCAAAAGACACTAAATCTCTGTAGTTACCATGGATATCACCTGAAAATATAGAGGGAGAAAAATGTAATACCATAAACATGTTAAAGTTAACAAAAAAGGGGAGGGGGGGGAAGAAAAGAGAGGGAAAAGCTGTTGAAGAGAAAAATAGATATTTTGCTTACCCAAAATATAAATTGGTGACTTTAACATTAAAAGTCGAGATTCTTGCTTAAGGATTTCCTTTGCTTGAGAACACAGAATGAGTAAACATTTTGCCAGTGCATTACAGTCAACAGCTCCCCATGAAAAGGCATCCTATGAGATAAAAAATATTTAAATATATTAAATGTTTTCTTACAGTTGATAAATTCTTTTAAACTTAATACTATTTCATCTCTCATCTATTTTATTAACATTTATGCATATTATTAAATGCTATATTATCAAATGGTATGAAGTCAAACTCTTTCAACAGCAGAGATATTTTTGCATATAACTTTCATGAGTTGGTTGATTTTACAACCTCTTTTTGAGTTATTTAATGCTGAATTTTATGGGGCACTCAGTGAGGTTCAAACTCACTACTCAGTAGTAATAATGAATTAGACTAGCCTTGCTACCATTTATCCCATATTGAGACACCCTTTAAAGAAAGAAAAAAAAGGCATTTGTTTTCCACACAATCTTCCTTGTCAAAGCACTTAAGTGCCATTTTTTGAGTAGGTGATTGCAGATTCAAGTTTAAATTCATATTTACTTATAGACTAAAGTATAAACCCTATCAATGTCTACCTATAAACTCATTTATAATAAAACAAAAAACAGATTGTCACATTAAATAACCTAACAAAGGTTGACATGTTGTAAAATCCACCCACATATTATTTAATATTTCAAATCTGGCTACAGACTTATTGATCTACCTTTTGTACATATTTTCATCAAGGAACACTTAAATGAAACAATTTGAGATGATAAAAAAATGTCATGTTTGCTCTCCTTAATATCAAATTAAATTTTTATTAATTCATACCTTGGTAATACATTTGTAGAGACATCTCGCCATAGAGTCAGTCATGCACAGTAATAGTGAACAACATATGGGACACCAAAGCTTAGTAAATGTCAATAAAAAATTCTAAGGATCAGTCATAGAGTTTATATTATCAATATTTTTTCAGTGTCGTCTATGATAGAGAACTCATTCTAATTTTACTAAATCAAATGGAAAAGCAAAGTCAATCGAGATAGAATCGTAATTTATAATAAAAGCATTGGAAGGCACCTCCTCATAGAAATCAGTGCTACTGTTTTCAGTCAGTCAGTGGTCTACACTAGATTAAGCCAAGATTAGTAAACATCTATAATAAAGGATTGGAATTGTTTAAGAGTCAAAGTTTATTTGCTGAAATTTTAATGATTTTTTTTATTATTAAAAAAAAAGAAAAAGAACATCGGACAAAAGTAACCAAAAGAGATGAGAATTGAGTTTAATTCTTGTTAAAACTTTTAGAGAAACAATGTCATTAACACAAAATACAACAACACACACATAAAATACTAACATAGGCAATATTAACTACATAAAAGGCATTAGTTTTTATAACTAGTCACTTAAAAGGTTACTGAAGGCAGCCATTAACCTTAACATCAAGTCATTTCCCATTTATCTTATAAATAAATAAATGGAACTATTCTATAATTAGCCGAACTCTGACAACATTTAAATTTAGCATTAACTGGTCTTTTTACTTTTTCATGATCAGCAGGAGTCTAGTCTTAAATGATTTTCTGTACAGACATGCCGATGAGTTAGAAGAAAAAAAAACAAAAACAAATTGTCGAAATTGTCCATAGTGGAAGAAAAAAAAAAAAAAAAAAAATGAGAAAAATATTTTTGTGTAAAATGATACTCAGGGAAATCATTTTTATTCCATTAACAAAATCTCTATATAAAATAATTAAATTTATTATGCAGCAAATAGTAATCATTTCGTTTCCTCTTTCAATGTTGATAGAATTTTCTTTTTAGTTTTGTAGCAAACAAGCAAAAATCAGATTGTAATGAGATTTTTGTTAGAGAATAATAATGTGCTGCAAGCAGGAATTAGGTCATAATATAAATTTGGCAATTTTGTTTTTAAGATAATTTTTAAAAATTTTAAGTAAAAGTTTATATAAAGTAAAATGCTGTGATATGCATTTAGAAATTGTAGAGTTGTCTGCTGTTGTGACATTAACACTTTAGTCTCATAGGTTTAGTAGAATCAGAATTTGGTAAAGCTAATTGTAAGGATTTAAAATAAAATAAAAATGAAACAAAAATAATAATTACATTTGTTTTGAATCTGTGTTCAAGTTATAAATATTAAAAAGTCTTGATAACCAAGAGTTTAGACTGAAAGTAGTTTTGTCAAGGTAAAGAAGTTAACATTTTTATCAGATGAGCAAGATGCATTCCTCTGAGTTATTTGTGTTTACATAACCTATTCAGATATAAACAAAACTGAGGAAAAGAGCTTGTGTGACATGAAATCATCAGCAGCTGGAGTAACAATTCTAAAGACAAACAGAAATAAGTCATTGCTCATTTAGTGAAGCTGTTTGTTATTTTATCAGCTGGCTTGGGTTCAATTTCAAACATAAGCAGGTCCTTGCAGCCAGCAACAATCCTATTTTTATTAGGAAGAGTTATTTTTCTGATGAAAGCATTGTTTCTCAAATAGGTTCAAATTATAGTTATAGCGATTTCAACTCAACATAATTCATTATACACTGATTTAAGTATAAGCCTTTCAAATTCAATTATTCCATTATCACTCCTAGGAATTTTTCTTTGGCAAAATAGTTCACCAAACAAATTGTCAATCAAAATTATTTTTCTATGAATAAATACAATCCATAATATAAACTGAAATCTTTAGAATTATAAATTCAATGAAGTAGACTGAATCAATATTATTAATTTTTGATTTTAGCCTCCAGTTCTGGACAAGAGTTTTACTATGACTTGGCCTTTAGTAAAGAATGCCATGATTGCAACTTGGACCATCAGTTGATGATCATTAATAAGCAATATAAACCAGAACTAAAGAATAAGCCTCCAGTCTTAATGTAATAGCTACCTTACCAATTTGGTCATGGAGATCCACCACTGTTATGCTAAGACAGGCTTTCCAATGAAAATGATTTCCAGGTCTTATTGACTAATGTTGAATGATCGAGAATTGTGATTAAAAAAAAAAAAAAAAAAAAAAAAAATTAAATTAAGATGAAGACATACCAGTCAAAAAATTGGTAATGATTGACAATACTTCATCTAAGAAATTAAAACTGAAGCCATTATGTCTTATTGAATTACCATGATACTCCTACAGAGTAGGAAGTTCTTGTACTTAACTGGAAACGGTAAAGCAAAAGTAAATTTCAACATAAATAAAGGGTTTCAAAAGTCTTGCCACGTACATATACTTATGTCCTTTATAACAAAGAAGCAAGCTGATCAAGATAAGTTGTCTGTTTTCATTGTTAGGAACATAGATCTATATCATTACAAGTTCAAAATGAGAAAACCCAAAGTCAAAATGAGAAAATCCAAATTTAACACAAGAATAGTGTTTACTAATATAACCATACAAGTTTAATACTCAATATCATTCAAATTTAATACTGACAGAAGTATTCTTTGGATTTTTTTGCTATGACTTGATTGCATAGCATTGGCGTTATTTCCTTTAAGGAATCTTAAATGATGCCTTCCAATTTACCCATTTGAGAATCCTTTTTCATTGTCCCTGATGCAATTTCTGCATTGAGGATATTGTCCATATTTTCAGCCAATTTTCTTTTGATGAATGCTGAACAAATGTTTTCTATCAGATTAAGCATATAGCTGTACTCTGCCATTCAGAGGAAATGATTGCGCTCAAATTCTAGATCAAGTAAAACTTGATGAATGTTGGTGTGGCATGGAGCATTACCAATGACAATAACTGCTGATTCCCAATAGAGTTCATAGACCTTTTGCAAGTATTCCTTTATCCAATTTCCATCCGCTTCCTTATTGTAGGAACCTCAATAAATTTCATGATGTATTAGTCCCTTGGTACCAATGCATCCAATTAGATGAATATTTGCACCCTGAGAAGCCACTGAAGATGTACTGCATCTTTCTCCTCTCAATGATCAACCTTGAATTCTCATAATATGCAGATAGAAATTTGTTTTGTCCATAAATAAGATGAGGAATGGTCAGTTTGATAATCCAACACTTTCAGCAAATTCCTTTTATCTTTTCCTTATTGGTGCTACTATTCTCCATTTCAGGCTCAAATCATATCTTTGATAGTGTATGTTAAGCCATCCAGGTGCTGGTGAACACATTCACTTGGTACAGAAATATCGTACTTCTGAATTTCTTCAAACTGAGCACAGGTGATTCTTGGGTTCTGCTCAACCTGATCAAGCCTTTGAATGCCTATAGTCTCCTCTTGTATCTACTTTATAACCTTCTTTTATCCATCTATATGTAGTGGATGTTTTGATTCCCAAACATCTTGCTGAGGATTTCCAGACTGCCAAAAATTGCATTTTTTTTTTTCATGTCTTTTTGAGTCATGGTTGTTAGGTGATGAATTGAAAGGGTATAGCTTTTTCAATTACCAATATATTACTTGACCATATAGAGTAGTGTTCAATAACTTTGAAACACCTTGTTTTATCTTGTTTACTTTGAGTTTTCTCATTTTGAACTTGTAATGGTATAGATTTATAGTCTCTTAGATTGAAAGTGAAAATAAGAATTTTGTGGATTCTATTAACAGGTGGCTGTCTCATTTCAACAATTAGTGAATTTACTGACATGGCTTAAAAACAGAACAGAAAATTAATGTTTTCAAATTGTAATTAAAGTGTCAAGTTTGGAAATGCTCAGTAATTTCAGCTCAACAGAATTTTCTGATTCATGTTTAGAGGATTGAAACAGATATTTTGAAAATGACAAATTGCAGGGTGACGTCAAAATGAGTACTACATTGAAAAGAAATCAGCCTATCTGTTATTGAATACATCTAGTGAATGATCTTTATGTTTATATGATAAAATTAAAACTTATGATGGCATGCAAAAACCCATGTAACAAATTACAATGTTGAGTACAAAAAACTAGAAATGTGTCAGTATGACCCTTGATTGACACCCACCAAAAAAATGGGTGGGTAGAGGTCAATCTGCAGAAAGAGTATAAATACATACATTTTTTTTAAAGGCTCAAGAAACACTTATGGTAGAGCAGTACTGAATGAGATGTGTGATATGAACATGAGATGTTAGAGAGAAGTGAAGATCATGAGGACTGATAGTGATTGACTCTTGACTTGAAGAGGTTAAGAGTGTAGTGTTCAAGAAAGTATTCACATGAGAGTTTGTTCCACAAAGTAGCAGCTCTTGGTAAAAGCTGTCAGTGTAGAACTTTCTTCTTACATTTGGGACATTGAGGAAATGAGTGATTTGACCCTGTGAATGTGGCATGGCGAGTCCTAGCTGTTAAGGTCCGAACTGGTGGTACTAAAGAGTGGAGCAACAGTACAACCCAGGGGCATTATGTTACAATCCATTCACCTCACAGCAAAATGGATTTTAAACCATTACAAAAAGCTCTACAATTGTGGGTTTGGTATATGATGGTAAAATCTAGAAAAATTCTTACATTTAGGGTTCATTGTAAAAAAGAAAAAAAACAAAAAAAAGCTTACGTGAAAATTATAAAGATTCAATTGTATGTTAGAAGATATTTCTCCACTAGCACAGTACCCATAAAAAATGATGGGATTATTTACATATGGCTTGGCACTTTTGCCTAGCATTAGAATATCTGTGAACCCTATGTTGGATCAAAAAGTCGTTCCCTGACACTTCTGACAAGAACAAAGTATTTGCATGTTGTGAGCTAGTTTTCACACTGAAACATTTTTTTCATAGTTTTTAAAATAATAATCAAGTATTTATATATTATTAATAATACATTATGAAAGAAAGACATCACTGTGTGTATACATACATACATACACATTTGCTAAAGGAGAAAACTGATGTTTACCTTTGTCTCTTTGGTATGAGGTGAGATTTTTTCCCTTTCAAAATAGCGAAGTCCAGTCAACATTTCATTCGGATGGGAACGCTGCAAGAAAAAAGAAATTGTAAGCCACATATTTAGATTATTAATAAATCGATAACCATAAAATATATTCATAATATTGTGTTTGCGAAAAAGTTTAAATGACCCCTGGAATAAAAATATGTGCATTTAATTGATCAAACAAAAATTTAAAAAGTCAGTTTTTCCTGATCTGTTGAAGCCATCATTAATTCTTTCAGGCTACAATTTTTGTTTTAGTTAGAAAAAAAAAAAAAAAAAAAACAACTAATCAAGGCTGCATGGTAGTCGAGGTAGCTGCATTTTCCCCCCCATTGGTGTTTGATTCCAAGTATAAAGCAAGCAATTCTCAATGAAAAGATTAATGCAACATTATTTTCTGTTATATATGAAAAGGTTCAAGTACATTTCAATTGTTTCATTCATTTTATTTAGGAAACATTTTAAATTCTATTTTAATATGGATATTTCTTTTTATTTAACACAGACCTTCCTGCACCACTGACGATGAATTTTATGAGCTTGATGGCAGTAACTACCTGTACTTAATCCATAGTTAAGGAAGTCACCTGATTGTCACACAGTGTAAGGGATTTTGATATGGCCCACTCTGACATGTCATTGAAGAGTAGCTCAAGCGTAGGTCTCCAAAGAATACCCAAGTGGAAAATATTGAAAGAATCAATAAATCAATCAATCCTGAGAAGTTGAGGTAATTTAGTTTGGGTTGTGAACATGGTGTACTATACTCTAGGCTTGCTCATGGTGCAACTGAGAGCCAGAATTGGAGGCCTATTGTAAAATGTTTGATTTTCAGAAATTTTGGAAAAAAATTAACTATTTTTGAAAGTATTTAGAATAACATTTTGACCCATACCTGAAGATAATATGATGTGCTATTGTAATAGGAAGTTAAATAAATGAAAACATGGATTTTTGTTGTGGACACTGATAAGTATTAAACAAAACAAAGAAGTAAATGTATGGAAAAGAATGAAACAAAAAAAGTAACATCAACAAATATGATCAGAAGGAACCTTTAGTTTTCCACAGTCAATTGAATTGGTGTATTTTCCATAGTTTTTATAATAAAAATGGGTTTCATATTCACTGATTTGATTATCATTTCTTGTAATATATCCAGCTATGTATACAAGAACCATTTTTATTTCATCAGAACGCGATGATTCTAAATTTTCTAGATTGTCAAATATTTCTGAACCTTCTTCACAAAATTTATAATCACATGATGTACATTGGTGACTTAGCTTAACATCAAAAGTATCAATATTTACATTCTGATTTAAAAGTAAAGATGTCTGCTTAATATGCAGCTTTTCAATACACTGCTGAACATTTATAAAATAGGTGCCACCTAATCCTTTGACAAAGTTACTAATGGATTAGTTGTAAATTGCCCAAGTAGGACATTTGTAGCTAACAGGTGTCGATATAGACTAACAATTCCATTGCAAATATGGTGTATAGTAGTAGCAGTACGTTTGGATAACTGTTTTATATGATTACTTTGACTGCCATTTGACCAAATCCAATGATAAAATAAAGTTGGCTGTCATTCTGAGATTCAATTTCAGTTTGTAGAGGGTTGTTATCAATTTGAAGGGTCTTAACATTTAAAATTTTCCATCTCAAAACCATGTTTATGAAGATGATAGTATCATTCTTATCTGCACCTATTTCAAACTGAGTGAGAAATGCATTATATGTTTTTTTTTTAAAACACTCTGAGGCAAGTAGAAACTTGTCTTTCTATAGGCTTTAGAGCAATGGAAATTTCATTTAAATCTGAAAGTTTAAGATGTGCCAATTTTGCTACTTGTTTATCATCAAAGAATAGTTCTCTTGTCTTTTCTGCAAGCCACATTGCTAATATTTTTCAACAGATGAACATAATCAAAAAGCAAATGTATATTATCTTCAGTTAACTAACATTTTTCAGTGAGTGTGGGATATAATTTAAAAAGAAAAGAAAAAGCTTGATTTACTTGGTTGCCATCACATATAATAGACTTTACATTAGCTTATACAGAGGTAATGACTGGAACTGTTAACTAAATTCATTCAAATAAAAAGGCTGATGTTAATTTTGAAATTGAAATCTATACTGTTAGACAATTTCCCATTGGAACTTGACTATAGTTTTTGACTTAGAAGCAACACTTGTTAATTACTTAAAAATTATTATATAAGTGCTGCTTTTGAGTCTTGGTGAGTTAGGGGTACTGAAAAGATTTTTGACTGGGCCCAGTTCTCAGAATATGACCAAATATTAGGCATTTTTTCTTCTGGATCAGGCTCAGAACTTTCAGCACCCCATGTATACATCTACAATTAAAACTTAATAAAATATTCAACATGTACCAGCTTATTTACATCTTTGTTTGGTGGGTCTGTCTTAGTGATATACAACATCAGTATTTGTTGTTTTTTTTGGTTTTTTTTTTTGTATGTCTGATCTCTTTCACTTGAGGAGTGTTGCATCTTGGAAACACCTTATTATATAAGAAAACTAAATCTAAAAAAAAAAAAAACATTCTTGGTTTGTGAATATGAAACTATAGCAAGCTTAATTATATACAAATTTGCACTTATAGCTTAATAAAAATAAGTCTCCACAAAATGAGAAGGTCTTTTAATTCTAACATTAACTTCATTTCAGCTTTAAAGACAAAATAAGAAAAAAAAAAATTGTTTCCCAAATTTAAAAAGTTGAAAGATAAATCTGATAATATACACAAAAAAAAAATTGATTTAGAATTCTAAGATCTTCCATTTTACAAATAATACAACAAAGACAAACCTGATTGAATGAATCTACTGATGACATCCGCTGAAATCGTGTCATATCTCCTTCAAGATGGTCTGCTGAGCTAGCACTCACAGCAGCAGTGCCTGGAAAGAATAAGCCTGGATTATAAATTTTTGATAATGCAAGCCAAACAAAAAAAAGCTTGAAAGACCTGAAATAATCACAGAATTGATAAAGTATATAAAAACATGGTTTGTGACAATTTGCTTAAATACAACTTGCCAGTCTCCACTTCCTATTTATAATATAATTATTTGCAAATGCTAATTACCACCATTATTGAAGTAGTGTCATTGGTACTGGTATACAACATTAACTGACAAAGAGTACAGACATATCAAGGGGAAATAACTCTGTAATTAGTAGTTAATATATCATAGGTTATCACCTTTTTAACAATTTATACTTGATCAGTTAAAAATTACTTGAAAACTGGTGGGCCAATTTAACTGGACTCAAGTTAGAGCATTTTAATGGTATTGCACTCGTGTGTTGCTTTGTGCTAGGGTCACAAACAGTGACATGCAGAAATTGGATCATTGTTATATAAATAGATACAAAATCTACAGAAGTGAATAATTATTTTTGAGCAAATAACTTATTTTATGAGATGATAATTTTTTTAAATTCATTATGAACATTTTAATACTGAATATTGATTAATTTTTGGTTTTAAATTCTTAAATCAGTACTTTAAAAAAAGCATCTTACAAATTCTCTGTCAGCATCATGTCATAGCATTTATATACAAAAAACAATTGAATATTTAAAGGGATAACTTTTGTAATATTAGGATAACATTATTATGGACATGCAAAAAGGGATTTATTAGTTTTTAATGTTTGGAACTTTTAAAATACTAAACACAACATTATTATGCCCCAATTTACAAATGTCCTCATTTTGGCTGTTGTCAAAATGTTTCAGCTACCATATTAGCTAGCCTTCTTCAGATGTCTGTCAAATGCTTGGGTTGGGCAAGAAGTCATTCTCTGGTTCAGTGGAAGAGACAGACAACATTACAAGAATTGATTAAATAGAAATAATTTGTACAAGATATCCTTTAGCATGGGCAGCAGAATAAATATCTATCCCCATGAATTAAATAAAGGATTCAATTCAAAATTCCCAGGTTACCAACTATAATGGACACCTGAAGATGGTTACAAAGTAGAGTGGCTGAATGGTTGTGACTATAACAACCAAGATAGGAACATTGAGAATCTGTCTACAATAATGAAAATTAGTCATTTCAAAAATTCAAGTAAAACTAGTACATGTACTAGGACAAGAAGCAGCTGAACAATAAGAATGAAATTATTAAAAAAATGTTGCTCTTAGTAACAGCTTTATTATTTTTGATGGAACACTGTCAAACTTTATTATTAATTTTGACTAATACTTATTTTTCCCCTTAATTTTTATTTATTGCAAATTTTCACAGGCCATCAATCTACAGTTGATGGTATAGAATATCCTCTATTTCTGTTTTTGCATTTTCTCCTCTTTAGATTGATGACATGAATAAAGTTGTGATAAGAAGCAACTCAAATTATGTTGATAGTAAATACTCATCAAAATTAGTAATAATGTAGTCCATGTTTTTATCCACCTATTTCCAAAAATAAGTTTAAAAAAAGAAAAAAGATGTTAAGTTTCAATAGGCTACTTATTTTTAGTTTTCTTTACATTCATAAGAATATTTTCTGTTTTGAGATCAATTTTCACTCAAATGTTTGAATATGTTACCATTTCTGCTGCATGTGTAGCCTATTTAATGCTACAAATCTGTTTACTAAGTATTAAATGAATAAAAAATGCTGTTTAAATGTTAAAAAAAAAAAAATTAAAAAATTTCAAAATATATTTTTTTAAAGCTTACAGTAACTAAATCTGCACAAATGGTTGACTAATTTTTCTACTCTTTAGATTGACAACCTGAGTAAAGTTGTGATAAATTCAGCAAAGACAATACAGATTGTTGTTCTACATTTTTGTTCTCTATTTTCATGTACAATAAAAGTGGGGCAAGTATACTATATGGCAGATATGTGAAACTCTTTGACACTGGTAAATGGAAGAAACCTAGCTCTGAACGAGACAAGAAGAGTTAATGAATAGAACAATGGACAGACCAAAAGAAAGAAAAAAAATTTTTTCTACCAAAAGAGAAAATCTTGATTTTTAAAAGAATCAGGAAACATTACTTGAAGGAAAGTGATATTACCACAAGGAAGCCATGTGGTTATCTTTAAGATGACAGCTGATTAATGAAGCAGCTGAGAAAGTGCCAGTTATGAAAACACAATATAAGTAGAACAGATAAGATTTGATTAGAGAAATAGGCTTTCTTTGTGTAACCTAGGGTGTCTGGAATGCAATGACCCTGGTAGGGTTGGGAGAATGGCAGGCCAGAGGATCCACCTGATAAATTCCTGATTCTTAAGCTAAACCAGCCTGAGAAAATTTCATTTACGTGAAAATCCAAATGATAATTTTAATTAATGATCATAAGTTAAACCATGCCAAGCAGTTGAGAGCCAGATTGGTTGAAGGGTAGCCAAAGTGACAGGCACAGGTGAAATATCAAGGAAGGCAGAGGAATTGCCCACAATTGGGAAGTATTGGTGTGAGGTGTCAAAATGAGAAGGAAAGAGTTGGGGCAGATCAATATCCTGCAACCACTCCTCATGAAAGAGGAAATCTCCCCCAAATTGAGCATGTAATTGATTTCCCAGAGCCAGACAATAATGGGCTCTTGTTGGCAATTGGGGAAATCACCAGAGCCCCAGGCCACATTATACCCCATGCCAGTTTTGGTGAAGGTCCATATAAACAGGAGATCGAAACGGCTGAGAGACAGTTGTTCCAGATGCAGGACGAGTGACGACTGCTTACATGTTCTCATGTGACTTCTTGCCTGAAATAAACCTCCGACAAAGTCTTGTGTCAGAAATCTTGTTCAGACTTAGCTAAACCAACCAAAGTGTCACATTTAAATTATGAAGTGGGAAGGGTTGATATTTTCCTGCATGAAAAACTAATAATTTTTAATATCAAGAATTAACCAACTCCTGTACAAAGTGTGTAAATATAAAGACATTTTCTTTTACTCAAATTATTTTTTAATACTTGGGACTTTGCTCTGCTCAGACCAAACCAATATGACAATTCCTATTGATGATTTGATTTTTGCCAGCCTCATGACCAAAATCAAACACAACATGGGATAAGGCAAGGCTTGGATTGAAGCAGTCAACTCATTGATCAGCTGCGGGGATTGGACATCAGATGGACAAGACAAGAAGACTGTTAATTAACAATAAAATCAAAAAGAAGAAAAAAAATGGATGAAAACCTTCTAAGTCCCAAATTGCCATGATGTCTGCCAAAGTTCCTGTTCGTCTCACTTTCACTGTATGAGTAGCAAGTTCGTAGTTCTTACCAGCAGGAAAACCATTTTTATTGTCATCTTCACCATTTGCAAAGGATTCTACAGAAATGAAAACAAAAACAAATATCAACATTTGTGAATTACACAATCACTAATATTTCCTTTCATGTTTTTAGATCTCAATTCTGCCTTTTAAAAATATATATATGTATCTAGCAGGTTGTACAATGAGAACTTCTTTTGCACAAATATGAAAAAGCAGCACAGATAACATTTAAGTGATAAGTATATATTTGTTACACTTAATCTACCAAAGGGTCCCACTTGTGTGAGGCCCTCACTGAGTATATTTTGGACAATGTAGAATGTTATTCATTGAGCAATTACTAAAGTTGACAGGATGTCATGTGGCAATATCAGAAAATTAGATTTTATATCACTATTGGTATCCACACTAAACTGGGAGAATAGGTATTCATAAAGATTTTGCTATATATATATATATATATATATATATATATATATATATATATATATATTCTTCCTCTTTTATTTAAATGCCATGTTACTTTAGAATGTATGCAATTATGATTCACCAGAACCCTTTAATAACTGTGAAATACCATGACTACTTTGAAAAGATAATGCAATGGTTTCCCATTGCCTTTTCCATAGTTTGGAGTTTTATTTCTCTAATCCTGGCTGACACCCAAGCTAGAATGCTCAGTCTACCCTGCTATTTAATAAAGAGATGGATTCAAACCTCTCATGAAGGCATTTGTGAAAAGTGAATGCAATAAAACAAACAAATTTGAACATGGCTTGGAAATTCCACACTGATAACCCTTAAACTACCTACACATCTTTTTACTATAAATAGTTTCTCCAAAATTCACATTATAACCTTCAAGTGACAATAAATGGACTGTTGAGGCTGAACCTGATCATGTACTTTATTCTATTGATCACTTATGGAAGACCAGCATAGAAACAAAAAAAAAAAACCTAACTGACCTTCATTTGAAACTATTTTGGCTCTCTTTTTTGGAGTATCCTCATGTTCATCATCTGAACCTGGTTTTTCACAGCTTCCTCTAAATAAAGACAACAAACAAGAAATGAGAAATAAGAAAAATGGTTGATCGTGAAGACTGGAGATGTTGTTTTAGACAAAAGATTACAATTAAATTTAACAGGGTAATTATTATTATTATTATTAATGTATAAAGAGATTCATTAGGTCTCCCACAATTTGGTTAACCATTTGTTACATACGTCATAGCCTGTCAGAACTCATTCTTCAGCAAAAACAGAAGTAAACACCCTTGACAGTTACCATTCAAATGATACAAATGGGATTAATTTTACGCTGGCTCCATGCATCCACATTCAAGATAAAAAGGAAAAATTAAAAAGTCAGAAAAATATTTTGTGACCAATCAGAAAAGATCCACATTACTCCAACTAACAATCAGTTTTCAAGGCACTCCAAAACTATATAAACTGTCATCAATTGAACTGTGGAAGAAGGCTCATCTGAGTTACCATAGTCATTTCATTATGTGATGTTTCTCTGGAACTATGATGTAATACCAACTATAAATGTGGTAAAATTCCAAGACAAACACTAATCATTTTTGTATATTGCCAAAGGCAAAAGTATAAATAAACTCATTTTTACTTTAACCTCATCTCCATTGTCATGTGTCACCCACTCATTCCTTTTCTGTTTGTCTGAGTTATGATACCCTAGACTAAATTTCATATCTGGTGGCAGGCAGTATTAAAAGAAGAGTAATGAACCAAATTTTTCAGTCACTTATTTTTACTCCTAGAACTTTCTGCAATGAATTCATATTGCAAATAAAATAGTAAGAAAACTAGTTATATATTTTTGTCAAATTTTTGTACAGTAGAGATAAATTTTGAGTCAATCAGCCATAACAGATGTGCTTAAAGTTGAACAAATTAAGTTCACAGCATCAATCTAATAAGAAGTCATTATCTCAATTTTTTATTAGATGAAGCATTATCAGCCATTATTAATTTTTGTCTTAATGTCAGTCTATGGCCATCAGCAAACAGTGCTATTTGAAAATAAAGCTCTTGGCAAGATTTGAACTTGCATCTCTTTTGCCTCAGAAAGCCCATTTTTCTATCATTTACTGCTTCTCAGCTTGAGCTGGAAGATCTTTTATGGTTGACAGAAGATCAAATCTATTTAAACTTTACCTTTTCCCAATTACTTTGCATCATATTTTTTTTACTTTTGTTCTGTGCCATTTGTTAACAGTTGGAGACCAACATTCTGAATAATACTTATGAAAATAAAGCAACTATAATTTAGATGAAAGAAATAAAAGTCAAAAATTAATAACTGATAACTGTCAAAATTGAAATGTGAAAATAATTAATGGTTCTGAAAAGTGATGACCATCTCCAGTGTTAAGAGAAATTAACCTTGAACATTGGATGGATTATTGATAGAATTAAACATACTTTTCAACAAGATTCATAGCGTATTAACCTGTTGGTGGTGGTCACCAGTGGATGGATGCAGTGTAGTCATAAACTGAGGCAAATGGTTAGTCACAATACTTAGATAGGCTGCAGCATTTAAATGATCTTTTATTCCTTAGCAAATTGTAGTCTCAGTTCTTGTTTTTATCGAACAAGAGTGGTACCTGGCATGGTCTTTGCTGCTGTAGCCCATCTGCTTCAAGGTTCAATTTGTTGTGTATTCAGAGATGCTCTTTTTTATACCTCTCTTGTAAACAGCAGTCATTACAGCTACTGTTGCCTTTCTACCAGTCTGGCCATTCTCCTCTGACCTCTTTCATCAACAAGGGATTTATGTTGCAAAATAGCCACTCCCCAGATTTTTTTCTCTTCATAACTATTCTCTATAAACTTTAGAAATGTTTTGTGTGAAAATCCTTGTAGATAAGCAGTTTTTGAAATATTCAGATTAGCCCATTTGACACTAACAATCATGCTGTGTTCAAAGTCACTTAAATCACCTTTCTTTCTCATACTAATGAAAGGAAATTCAACAGGTTTTTATGATCATGTTTAAATTCCTATATCTATTAAATCTTCTGGCTTCTAGAATCCTGTTCTTTTATTGTCCTTTCTCCTCACTAGTCTTCTTACTCTCTTCCACTTCCAGTAACCCCTTGCATCTTAGTGGCATTAACAACTTCCTTGGGATGAAATGATAAAAAAAATTGTTGCATGTCATTGGCTGATTAGAAAATAGCATTTTATTCACATGTACTTAATTAAGTAGCCAGTGTATGTATAGTTTGGTTAATAAGTCTGTAGATTAATGATGAAAAAAATTTTTTTTTCTTAAATCTTCCTTGTCAATATGATTAATCTAACATGTCTCCATAAATAATACTGAACATTATACAGTGAAAATTTCAGATTAAAATTCAGCTATTAATTTTGTCAAGCTACAAACTTAGTGATCAATATTCATAAGTGAAGATCGTTTAAAAATAGAAGGGAAAACATTTGTTAACTGTCACATCAAACAGAAGGCTGCCTTTTAATTGCTACTTAGCCACTTATTTGTGCCAAATTTATAATACTAATAATTTTTGTGAATTAACTGATACAAAAGTGGTTGAGAAAGAAAGAGTGAAGAAAATGGATCTCTGCCTAAAGTTCTTACCTTTTGGAATGAGCGTGACAAGAATGAAGCAAGCGGAACAAAACTGATGTTCCTCGGAATTTGAGATTGCCAACAGCAATGAGAAAAGTATTTAAGGGAATACGAAAGGAGGCTGGATCAATTTCCTTTCCATTGTTAAATAACCTGCAACAGTAAATAAATAAAAATAATATACAACAACAATTCTGTGAAATTATGTATATAAAATCAATTGAATTTTATCCTAATTTTACTTGGAGCTATGTAGACAAGTGACAAATCCATTATGTCGAAATTTTGCAACTTGAACAATTAACTACTAAAGATTAAGATAGAGTACCAGATACTACACTGATCATAGGCAAAAGTGCAAATCCATACATAAAGGATGCTGTCATCTTTTAATGGCATTATGCTAGTAAAGTAATATTAGAATATCAACAATATCAGATAAGAACTGATTTTTATTCAAAAACATGAATGAAGAAAAAATCCAGCAGATATTGAGATAAAAAAAAAAAAAATTCCATTAACTTATTTTCAGGGTCTCTTTTATATTAGATGTTATATGATATGACTTTGGTTACCTTTAATTAATGACAGGTTCAAAGAATCTGATCCATAGTTTGGAATTACTTCAAAATCTTTTATAGTTGTCATTAAGGCAACTGCTCCACAAATTACCAAATACATTTATTTTGGATAGCTAGAAATTAATATATCAGATTTTTATATTTATTTATTTTGGTTGAGATAATGCTTTCGGACTATTCTTGGTTTTATTATTAGTTTTATAATATTTCAGTCTGTCCATTCTCAACCATCATTAGATGAATGACTCCAGTGCAAAGGTTATGGTTGATCTTGTCTGCAGATGTCCTGTTTGAAAAAAAAAAAGTAACGTGCAATATTGGAATGAGATATGATCTACATACATCATGGCATTCTTAACTTTCTTACTAAGTAAAGAATGCCATCATAATCATTTACAACAACACAGCCTTGGGAAATATTCACCAGTTTGAAATTTGACAACATTGTTTTCAAAAAAGGAAAGTTTTTCTTACCCAATATTTTCTTTCACAGCTTCATCTAAATTCTTTTCACCCGTTTCAAGGCCCTTAATGGTCAGGATATCAAATACCATTTTCCTGTAATATACAGTTCACATGGTCTTTATGGAATAAATATCACTGTATCTAATTGGATGAAGGTAACAAACACCAATAGAGGAGGAGGAACTGGTTGAGAGAGAGAGAGACCCTGACTGACCGACATCCAAATTATATAATATATTTTAATTATTATCAATAATGTATTTGCATGTATGCACCTGTGTTTCGGAAATGTAAAGTTTTTGAAAGCTGTAGCTCACTTAGAATATTGATGATATTTAAACAAAAAGCAAATGACCAAGGAAGGACAGTGGATATATCAATCAGAATGTAGTCATCAAAAGAAAAATAAGGATAATTAAATTTATTATAATGTAGTGGAGTTATGCATTTATAAACAGAGATTGTATATATAAAGTGATGGATGGTATGATGGCTAATGACAAAAATGAAATTGGTGAACAGTTTGAATTCTGGTTAATTCACTCATGTCCTAACAAGATACTAAACCACTTCTTGCACTCTGTCCCATTGACATTTCTTGACAGAATATCTCATCATTTGTAAAGAGAAAACAGTGAAAACAGTGAATGAATAAGCATTTGAAGATGTGGCTTAGCTGTAATCGTTTGGGTATTTAACGTACTTAAAGGTAACAAATTTCTGCTGTAGTAAACTTTGAGAAGTGACAATTGTAAGTTTTCTCATCACCAATTGTCCTGATGGCAAATCCTTGTTGTCTATGGTTGAATCAGTATCATTGTGCATTACATAAGTCTATATCCAATTATTTTATCTTTGGCCAGATGTTATGTCCATGTCATAAGCAGTTTCCAGAATTCTTATACCTTTGGATGGTATTAGTTAAATCCTTCTAGTCAAATGTTGGTAATTTCAGCTGTTTTCTGAATATATTGTATTTTATCTGTTTGGCCCCAAAACTTCTTATATTCAATCCACAGAATTGTTGAGTTTGTCATTTGTTTTACATATTTAGTCACAATTGCAAATATTTGACTTGCAAATCTCATACTCAACAAATGGCACACAATGCACTGTTACACTAGTGTCGTGATTCTATACTTTTACATGCTTTTGACTGTGTGATTTAAGGTGGTAGGAGGAGGAGGTCAACACTGGTAGTAGCAGGAGAATAATAAACGAACTATTCAACACACACACAAATAGATACAAAGGGGCACTGAAAAGTTTTCAGCCAGACCAACCAAGATGCCTAAAAAAATTGTTTGGTCATTTGAGAACATGGGTAGGTTTAAAAACTTTCAGCACCCTTATTTGTATCTATAATGTACAATCATTATTTTTTTTTTTTATTAAATTTACAATTTTCTTCACTAACAAATGAATAAATACTTAGTGTCAATAAATTTCATCAATTAGTAGAATTTTAAAATGTGAGTGCATTCAGACATTGAAATTTTCCAACTGGAAATACAAATTTCAAGCACAAAACACTTTTTATACAATGGACAATTTTTTTTTTGTTTCAGAATTTCTTTCCATTCTTCTATTTAATGATATAAATTTTTTAAAAATTAATTAGACTATGATATGTAATTAAAGAGTGATTTTGTCAACGGCTCTACAATTGATGATCCAGTTGAAATTGAGTATTTTGTCTCAGTAATTTGTTTATGGCATTGTACGGGTGACAATTGACTAATTACATATGTTGAATTGGGTTTTTATTTCAATTAACCAACTGTGATAAATGAGTTTATTTTTAACTGTATCTAAAAAAATTAAAATATCCAAGAAGAAAACGGAAGTCCCTATCTCTATAGAATATATTTAGGAGCTTGTTTCACTTACTTTCCAACTTAGATAAGGGACCAAAATTATCAGAAATACATATATACAAATACAATTTTTAAAAAAACCATGCTGGTAGACGGCATTTACACTATTTAAAAAACATAGCTATCCACTCAGATATGTGTATCTACTAAATACTATATATATATATATAAAATGGCTGGCCACTCATATACGAGTATGCTTGTCTATTAGGGTGACTAAGCAATCCTTGTTACAAATGCCTGTTCAGGCACATTTGTGTTTGTTCAACACCCACAGAGTCCACCCGTGGTTTATACTGCAATTATGTTGTACAGACCTTAGTTACATTTTGTGCAATATCCGGTGTGATCAATTGTATGAACAAAGTCAGTACACTCAATCCCTCAGTCATGATTACTTGTGACTTTGTGCTAGTAAACATTTCTATCTAACCAATTTCACTCACAAGGCTTGGGTCAACCTGTGGTATGGTTTTAGGGAATTTTCCAATGAACTGCTTCCCCAAGCCAATAACATCAAGACTTCACATTCCTGACAAATTGACAGGGGTGAGATTCAAATCCATGTTTCATGTTTGGAAAGTGAACATTATAATCACTTAGCCATGTGTTTTATTATATATATATATATATATATATATATATATATATATATATATATACACACACACACACACACACTTCATGAATTTAAGTGTATTATTAGATTGACAACTAGGTTTCATCATTATCAATAGTTTCTTCTCTTTCTCTTGATTGTGGAACTCTGTTTCAGCTTCTTGCTTTCTCATCAACTATGATTTTCAAAAATTTAAATGCAACATCAATCACCATCTCTTCTTTTGAATACTGTTCTTTTTGTCCTTTCTTCAAAGTAATCTTTTCTTGGTTTCTTTCACTCCCAGTACCCCTTTGCATCTTAGTAGCTTTAATTTCATGGAATTAAATGGTTATATATATATATATATAATGTGTATGTGTGAGACACATATATAGACCCCCAATTATACAATTATGCAAACCAAACAATAAACAAACTAATTAATTAATAAACAGAAATAATAATAATATCTAATTTTAATTTATTTGCAAGTGAGTTTTATTTAGACATTAACATTGTTTATAAACAAACAACACCTTTAAAGAGATTAAATTATTTTTCTTAAATACAAGAATTAAGGTTTACCTGAATTCTGGAGGATGTAAGTATCCATCTCCCATCGCGTTGTAATAGCGAAAGATGTACTTGCAGCGAATCTCAGCAGCACCCCCTCCATGATGAGTGTGTGGATCTAAGGCAGCCAAGCCAACAAAAAAATCTTTGAAGGAGAGAAAATGCTTTTGATCTACATCAAAAGCCCTGAAATAGAAAAAAAAAAAACAGAAATGTTAAAAATCTTTGTAATTTCACAAAGGTTGAGTGAAACATTAAAAATTGTTTTGTTTTTTTTTTTCTTTATCATTGCACAAGAATCTTTTCTATCAATAACCAGGCCCACAAATGGCAGTCTTTGATAAACATCTGGCAGGGAAGTGTATCGACCACAGTCATCTGGAATGCATTTCAAAAGCAGAAGGAACTATGACAGATCATTGTATTAATGAGAATAAATTTATTGTGTGTCAACTTGTAGAACAGCACTGCCTGCCATCTGAAGTTTTTGGAACACAACATTGAAAGCCAAAAGGAACATGATTAGTTTGGGTCTTCCCAGTGTTGTCTTTAAATTGAAAATATTTTTTTTTTACTCTAAATTAGTGGCATCATAAATTTGGAAATCATTTATTCTTCAGTATTTTATTAGAGTTGTTTAATCAATATCAGTTGCAAAATGGTGCTTAGTATGGACTCCTCCATCCTACCTAGCTCTCCAGCCATTTCAATAATTACATCTCTCAACCAATTTATGACAGTTGTTAAGATGATTAGCCTGTTATTTTCCATATATCCTGAGCCGACATTTGGTGCAGGCCACTTTCTTTTATGAGTGAATCTTATGATCTCCTACTTACTCTAGACCAAGGTTTCTTAACTTGGGCCATATGGCCACTGGTGGGGTGGGGGTATTTTCAGGAGCCACAAGGCCAAATTTGAAACATAGAGGACCACGAGAGGGCATGGAAAATTTAGAACCCACAAAAAAATATTATACACATATATATATAAAGAGATAATTTTGCAATTAGTAATTATTATTTAAAATAAAATATTAAATTTATTAAGTTAAATATTAAATTAATCTAAGCCATTTTATTTGAAAAGCTAAATGTCTTGAACAAAGAGCTCCAAAGAAATGACTCCACCCTGTTTTCTTGTAAAGAGGCAATTAATGCATTTAATGGGAAACTAAAGCTGTTCTGGTTGAACCTTGGGAGACAAGAGTTTGTACAGTTTCCTTCCTTAGCAAATATATCCACCAGGCTAACAGTGTATGTTGATATTTTGTAGTAGTTGTATAATGATATGAAAGCTCATTTCTCTGATCTACTCCAAATGACAGTGCTGCACTGGTTACTGGATCCTTTTATTGCTGATGCATCTGAAGTTGATATCACCTTACAAAAAAGTTTCATTGAACACCAAAAAGAGGAGGGGGGTGAATATGAAAAAATAAAATATTTACTAATAAAAAAAAAAAAAAAAAAAATCTCAAAAGTAGAGGGATAATGCACCCCTGATAATACAAATGAACTAGGCATGAAACCTAAAATAAAAATTCCAAGTTAGTCAGGGTAGTCCGTTGGAGCAAGTCAAGAGAATTTCTAACAGACATCACGGCAAGCAGCCTAAGCAAGACATGATATTATAACTGCTAGGAGTGAGTTATAACATTATGCTTGACTTTAGACATACATGTGCAGCCACTTCCTGAAAAAACATTCATAACCATGATACACAAATGCATCACTTGGCTCTATGAAACAAAAAGGCCAATATCAAGAATGCACACTGGCATCATTTATTTTAGTTTAAGAAATTTACTGGCGATAAGTTCTCAATTTACAGTTGAGTTGGTTAGATGTAAACATAAGTTCTATGCTAACAGTTTTTTTCTTGCAGTTCTTGTCTGTGGAACTCTTTTCCAATGTCAATCACTATCTACTGTCTCCCTGATTACTCTATTGTTCTCACTCATTAGTAATGTTTCTGTTTTCTAATTCTTCCATACCCAGAAATCCCTTGTTTTAGTGGCTTTACTGCCTTGCTTGATGTGAACTAGTTTTAACAAAAAAAACCCCAAAAAACGAAACAAACAACAATTTCTGCTCATAACTCTAATAAAAAAAAAAACACAGATGGTATTATGTGAGGTTTCAAATATTCATGGTTAAAAGGGTTGAAATATCTAAATGTACATGTGGCGAATAAAGAAAACAGCAACCAGCGAGTAAATTCAAGCTCTCCCAACTGGTATTCCAACCTTGAGTCGTTCCTTCTTGAGTTCTGTCTCAAAATTGCACTAACAGACTTTACTAGCCACCAACCGTGAATGTCACTCGAAGAACTCCCTGCACTGGGAAAAAGTAGTTGCTTTTATATTTGTCCATATACCCATAATCCCTTACGTCTTCATGTGATCCCATAATTCATTGCGTCCCTGTCTCATAATGCATTGCATCTTTATTGCTTAGAAATGCAATGCAAGTCCCCCCTCATTCTTTTATGTTATCTGTCCGAGGACGGATTACGGCAGAGCGGTAAGTGCTTTTTTCTCCCTCATTTCAACTGCAGTAGCTTTACATGCTAAGCAAATATGGGCTCTTTTTTAGCAGGGACAAGGCAAGTCGCAACCAGTTGTGCTCGTCCCAGGTTCTGTCTCATGTCTGCCACAGTACAATAGCCTACTGAAAGTGATGAAGTGGCAGATGGCACCTGACATGATAAAAATGCCCCAGCCAATATTAGTTGTGCCCTGGAATCTGTTGAGTCAGTGTGAACACCATCTGGGCTGTTCACACTTTAAATGGAGCATGATAGTGGGTGCCAAATGTATGAGACATTCCATTCCAGAAAATGTGGGGGACATTTGATATACCTCGATCTACAGTGTCATGTGTACCAGGAAAACCTGATGAAAGATATTACTGCTCCATGTGGACAGTGGCTGACCATGTACCTTAATGATTATAATCTGTTGTCTAAGTAGAATTGTCTGGATAATAAATTACATGGGCTCAAATCACACATCCTTATTCAATGCAAGAGGTACTAGATTCATATTCATGAAGTCAATTTTGCATTCTTTAGCTTCTATTAAATATGGGAGCAGTTCAACTGCCAGGGTCCTCCTGTTATCAAAATGCCACCAGACAGAGCATCTCACTTTATACCCTAGAGGATGGGTAATATGGCCCTATGTAACACAATTCCATTTGTGTTGAGCTGATAGTAGGGTTTGTGACTAGTGCAGACTCCATGAGGCTATGGACCCCAGTTGGTAACAAAATACCATCCCAGCTGATAGTGGTTCTATAATGGTGTGGAAGTGTATTCACATGATAGGTGACTACTTCATAACCATTTGCCTTCATTCATGGACTCCAAATACCCTGACAGCCGTGGGTTAATTCCAGCATGATAATGTATCATTGGTTGCCCAGAATTGGTTCAAGGAGCATTCTAGAAATTTCTGTGGAAATGTGTTGTCACTGTTTGCCTAGCAAGAGTCATAATGAGTTTTTATAGGATGTAGAATACTTAAAAATATTGAAATACCATGGCTCACCATCTCTCTAGAAATCTTCCAACCACTTGGGGAATCAATACAATTTCAGGCTGCTGCAATTTGCTGGACTAGAGGAAATCCTGCATGATATTAGGTAGCTAATCAATGACTTTTAAAATGTCAATGTATTTAACTGAAGTAGACTTTAAAAAAGAAAAAGAAGAAAATAGTTAAATTGATAAGAAATATCTACACTCAATAGTCTTCAGTTACTAAAATTAGGAAAGTCTTCTTCAGTTTGAATGTTGTTAAATTGACATTAATAACATCATAAACTTTTCATGACTTTCATGTTAAAGTGCAGAAAAATTTTATAAAAGCTGAAAGTGTTTTAGCCTTTGGGTGAAGTTGATAATTTCTTTCTTTCACTTGTTTGAAGTCTCTTGAAAATCTTTTTTTAGATTATAAAAATTTACTGTTGCCCTATACTTAAGTGAATCCAGTGTCTGGTTATCATTTAATCTTAACTGTTATCATTATCCAGACAAGTACCCTGATTTTTATTTTTATCTCACTGTTTCAATCAATCTGTTCTTTGGATGTTGCAATTGAAAAGGAGAAAATTTCAGACTGTGGAAGAGATTAAGGTGAATGTGATAAAGCAACTGATGTGGCTCCCGAAAAAGGATTTTGCCGCCTGGCTTGAAATGTAAAAGGGCTACTAGGATAAATGTTTAAGGGGAGTACTTTGAAGGGAATATTAGAAATGCCTTTGCCCTCAGTAGGGTAAGTTTTTTCATTTATATTAGATGGCTGAGTCATTTCTGGATATCCCATCTCTGTTACAAGTTCTTTTTTCATCTCCTCAACAAGAATGACACAATTTAAAAAATTAATGGAATTGAAAGCTAAAATTACCTAATTCATGTTGAAATTCATAAATTCCACTCCTTGAATACAAATATTAGATTTAAGACTCAAATAAGTTTTATCACAGTCTAGTGGATTAAAGTGTTGGTTAAAACATGTCTATTCCCTGACATTTGTGAGTTCAATCCCTGTGTCTGGTAGTGCTGAAAAGTCACATACTCTGGTTCAGGGAAAGAAACAAAACACAAAAGGTGAGTAAGAGCAGTGAGTATTAATTGACATGAGCATAGGAAATAAATCAGAACAATCTATCCTGGGTTGAATAAAAGGTTTGGTTCAAAAATTCAGAGAAGGTTACTGAGTACCATGAGAGGCATCTGAAGATGGCTGAAATGTGAGTATTACAACCAGGATGAACAGGCTAGTCTGAATAATAAAGTATAAAACTAAAGTTTAGTGTTTGTGGGAAAGTTTTAAGTGGTGGTATGGAAAAAAACAGTTCTTTTTCTTTATAATCATTGAGTAGGCTTGAAGTATATACAGCAGGAAGCGAAAAAAGAAAAAGACTACTGGTTAGTCTACAGTAGCAAGCAAACAGCATTGATTGGAAATGAAAAAGATAAGGTCTTTGTGTTGAAATGGTTAATCAGGAATAAATGAAGAGTTTATCTTATTATTCAGGATTAGCTCTACTTGGTGCCATAAACTGACAGCTCATATAAATTATGTGAAAAAGGAAGTAAAAATGAAGATAAAATTAAACATTTTGATAATCCCTTTTGTTTTACAAGGCAGCTTGTAATAAATCTTTAAGAGATTGGAAATTATTAGTGTTAGCAATTAATTCACACAATTTTATTTTTATAAACATATTCAACAATACTAGTGTCAAAATGTTTTAATAAATAAATAAAAATTGAATGTAGGAAAAACTCTTTGATAGATTAAAAAATCAGCCAGTAATTATATTTTTTATGAGATGTGACATTCAGATATAGGTGATCATGGCTCTCCACAGATTCCTTTTATTATTTGCGAATTGCCATGACTTCTTCAGAAAGAAAGTGGAGTGGTTTCCCATTGCTTTCTCCATGGTTTTGAATTCAGAGTCGTCCTTCTCCAAGATTCCTTTTCTTTATTTGTGAATTACCATGAGTTCTTGAGCAAGATAGAGGGGTGGTTTCTCCATGGGTTTTACTTGTAAAGCAGTCATGGTTCGCCATAGATCTTTTCTTTATTGTCTCTCAATTGTCATATCTTTCTTGAGAAAGGCAGAAGAGTAGTTTCTCATTGCCTTCCCCAAGTGATAATACGGATTCACATTTAATAATGCATAACTGAAAAGTTTCATACTTTTACTGAAATAATTTAATATGCTTTAGAAAATTTGGAATTTGGATTAAAATCAATAGAATTTTTTTTCTAATTAAAATCAAACAGTATAATTATTATTCTTTTACCTGCAAATATTCTTTTCTATTTGATTTGTATAACACAATTGCTACTAATAAAACAATTATACAACAGATCTTGTGTTTGTAATAAACAATTAAAACTATTTTGAAAACATTAGGTAATAAATGAAATACTTTGGGAGCACTTGAATTGAAAATTGAAATTTTTCATATAAATATGCATAATATATGACTGGTTTATCTGCACTGTAAAATAATTGCAAATGCATTGGTTATATTTTCTTCTCAAGCGTTGTTGGATTTTTATCCATACAATTATCTCTATTGTTACAAGTAAAGAAAAAAAAAATTTAAATCATTAAAAGTAAAAATAGCTAAAGAAATCTAATATGAAACAGAAAAAAAAATAGTTTTATCTAATCTTGGTAATGAGAGTTTTCCTTGTTATCTTAACACAAGGAATGTTTCCTTATTGCCAATGAGTAATGAGGGTTTGTACAGGAAACCTTGAAAAGTTCTGGAAAATTGGCAGGGCCTTTTCAAGGGCTTGAAAAGTCCTGGAATTTTCTAAATTGTGCTACCCACACATCCTTTTTCTCAATTCATGAAAGTCAAAATGCCAAATCCCAGAAACCTGGCTTTTTTACAAGCTAAAATTGTTCTTTAAGAAAAATGTTTTTTAGTCATCAATAATATTTGGCAATTATTGCTTGTTTCCTTGATTAGGACGAGTTCATGACCTCATAGTTACTTCTGTATTTTCTCATCTAGGTACCGAGAAAGAATATGAAAGTGCGACTTCTAGCTGCTGCCTTCACCCAACAAGAAAAGAGGAAAAGCGAAGATAAAAGCTTTAGAAACAAATAAACATCTCTGTCTAAGATAAATCGATTCATACTAAAAAATTTTAACAAATGAAGAAATTTTATTCACATATCAATTTCAAAAGTAAAAAGTCCTTTTGATTGATAATCAGTGATGAGTGAATTAATTCTGAAAAAAATAGATACTTTACGCATCCCATGTTAATGTGTATCTATGTGTAAACTACATTTGTCTCTAAATTGTTGCCAAAAGTGACAAGTTTGAGAATTAAATTTGACCCAAAGAAATTTCTAACATGCAATTCTAGTTCATTTTGATTCCAACTATCCATTGAATTAATAAATTTGAACACTACACACTTACCTAAAAAGATGGTTCACTGCTTCTGGAGAAGCTCCTTTATGTAAAATATATTTTGTAAAAGCCTTTTTGCACATTACCATTGAGGGATAGTTAGAATTTATATATTCTTTCAAATACATTTGTTCTGGAAAACAAAAAAAAAAAAAAAAAAAAAATGGAAAATTAGAATTTTTTTAGCTTGAAAAATAAAAATGAGATTAAAAGTAGGAACATGAATATTTAAAAAAAATAAAGTGAATAAAAATACATCAATTTAACTTAATTGATAAAAAGGTCAGATGTAAAATTATGAAGAGAAAGTGTTTGTACAACAAATTCAAAGAAGAATAATTAAAAAGGCTATATTCACTGTTCATTTCAATATATAATTAAAGTATTCATTACACATGCAATATTGGATATAGATGCATCAATAAATTCATAGCCTAATGATGAAAAAAGAGCATTTATTTCACACCAAATCTATTATCCCAATACTTGTCCATTAATTATATACATTATTATACAATGAATATATCAGATCAAAATTCAGATTTCAGGATATGGAAATATTGACCAATCTTTTAATGAAATTTAAGTATTTTTTATTATTATTCATTTAATACATTTTCAAACAAAGCATTTGAAAATTGACGATTCAAAAAAGTGTAAGACATTTCTAAGATATTCCCCCTTGATAAATTCATCTATTACCAAATAAAATTGTATCTTACTGCCTATAAATCACACAACTGTTAAATCATTATTATATTGTAAAAATAACAAAACTTGTTAAATTGTTTATCAATCATGTCCCCTTTTTTTAAGTCCTCCTTGATTTCATATTCCATTTAATAATAAAGATACCTTAATCTCAAGAATATATCAAACATTTTTAAAAACCTATTTTTACAACATCGCACAACGAGTAAGCCAAATAGAGAGTCGACTTCAGTACAACAGTCAATATCATTGAGTTTTTACATTAAACTTACAATTATTACCAGAATAAAAATTTCAAATCAAATTAACTATATTATAATGACCCAATTTCTGTTTGTGAGTGTGCTTGTTACTGTAACACAAAAAAAGTAGCACATCATAGTGAGATCTTTATTAAAGCAATTCTTTAAAAATGCTCTAACTTGAAGAATAAAGCAATTTCCAGTCCAATTTGAAAATTAATAAGTGTAGGACATGCACTCAGGCTCACTTCAAAAGTAATGAGATCTAATATTTGTATATTACATAAGCTGAAAATAGAATTATACCAACATTAAAATAGAAAAAAAAAAAGACATTTAAAAAAGTACTAATTACAGCATAAAAGGTGATATCTTTATTTCGTAAGTGTTTTTTTTTCCCTTTACATATTCTTATGTGGATATCATTATTTTATGCAAAAATTAATCTTCATTTTTTTTTTCACGCTTTATGACAAAAATTTTTTTTCTAAATTGTAAGCATATATATATTTAAAAAAACAAAAAAAACAAAACATACAATGCCAGACTTCTGCTGTTAAAAGTATAAGTAAAACTAACTAATTTTTAAATGTAGTTGGAATTTTGCTAATCCCATAGTAGTCTCCCTTTTTATACATTTGCAAATAAAAATAATAACATTAAAAATAAATACTAAAAATTTTTGACATTGAACTGAACTTTCAAAGCTTAAGCAAGTTAGTAAAAATAGATTTTTGTTGAGACTTTTATTTTGGAGATTTAGTAATAATTCAAACACTCCATGAGAAAAGTAATATTTTCATTTTTGTTGATAGATAATTATAAAGAAAAATTTCATGACCAAAAGGAAAAAAACAAAACAAAAAAACAAACATTTAAAACCAGGAACAAATACTTACCAAGATTTTCAAATTTTGCAGATTTAAGGAGTTCCTGGATGGCATTTCTTGATGAGTCATGTGTCAGATCAAGCCCATGACTTTCTGTCAAATTGCTGGCAAGAATTGGAGATTTCTTTGCAGCTGAAGTCAACACAAACAAATATGCTTCAATATTTGACCACAGTGGAAATTTCTAGTTTTAGTTATTATTATAGTCTTTAAATGATACAGAGATGCTGATAGGTGCACATCCTGCATCCCTGATGCATAAAAATCTTAGAGGCAGTAATTTTCCTATCTGTGCATCCCAGGGGTGCAACTAAATTTTCCCATAAAAAGTGATACATTGCACAAAATCAACTCATCACAGTTATGATATAGTAAAAGGAATTTTTAATAATTTGTTGTTGGTTGATACTAAGTAAACAACAACATAAATTTAATTTGAAATGTAACTAATATATTCTTTCTGTGACCGAACATAAATCATTTGTCAAATGAACTATTGGGTTATCCAGAAAGTTCATGCCAATTTTTAGTTGTTCATGTTCCAACAGATTAGAACACATCAAATTTATCGACAGATATAATATACTTACATTTCTGATTGGAGCACACTTCAAACTATCTCTTGAGAAAGAAAGTTTAAAATTACTTAATCCGTGTCAATTTTGCAATCCTATGAAAATGGAAGATTATAAGGTGCATTTTAGACACTTGATGCATTTTTTATTACTGTAAAGGCAAAAATGCGTTGCAAGCAACAAAATAAGATATGTGCTGTGTATGGTGAAGGTGCTTTAGCTGACAGAACTGTACAGAAGTGGTTCACTAAGTTTAGAGTTGTAGCCTTATTGATGAAGAACACTCAAGCAGGCCCACCTCATTACATATGATGCCCAAATCATGACATTGATTGAGAATAACCCACATTGCACAACGTGAGAATTTGCAGAAACACTAAATTTATCAAAATCCACCATCCATGGACACTTAGTGAAGCTTGGGTACTCAAATTGCTATGATGTACCACCTGATCTGTGTGAAAAGAATGTTTTGAATTGAATTTCATCTGTGATTTACTGTATAAATGCAATGAAAATGCACACTTTTTGAAGCAAATTTGTGACAGGTGATGAGAAATGGATCATTTATAACAATGTTCAGTGAAAAAGATCCTGGGGTAAGTGACATGAGCCAACTTAGCCACCTCAAAAGCAGTTCTTCATCCTAAGAAAGTCATCCTGAGCATCTGGTGCGATTGGAAAAGAATCCTGTACTATGAACTTCTGCCAAGTAACCAGTCAATTGATTCTGAAAAGTACTGCTTGCAACTGGACGAATTAAAGGCAGCAATTAAGAAAATTGCCCAGAATTGGCAAACAGGAAAGGCATTTACCATCAGTATAATGCCAGATCTCATGTTTCTTTGGTGACCAGGCAAAAATTGTTGCTCCACTTGCCATATTCACTAGACATTGCTTCTTAAGATTTTCATTTATTCAGGTCCTTGCAAAATAATCTCAATGGTAAAAATTTTAATTCTTTGTTTTTTTTTTTTTATGTCATCCAAACACCTTAAGGAATTCTTTGCTAAGAAACCACCTCAATTCTGAGAAGATGGAATCTAAGTTGAAGGAAAAATGGAGAAAGGTTATGCAACAAAATGGTTCATATTTAGTTGAATAAATATTTAATGGCATAATTTTGTTTTGTGTTTTAATTTCACTTTAAAATTGGCAGGAACTTTATGGACAACCCAATACATATTGGTGGAAATTAGTACATGGATATTTTATTATTTTTTTTAAGCATTTTGTATTTCTGTTGTTAACATACGTTTTAAAACTATGAGTGCAAAACATTTTAACTAACAAGCAGAGACATTTTTGTATGTAATGTTCCGTTTACTGTTCAAAAAACATTTAACAGGACTCAAAAAATGTCTTCAGAAAAAAAAAATTTACCTGCATGGGTTGGTACAAACTGTAGGGAGGCCAATATTTTTTGTAATTTTAACTAATAAACACCGCATTAATCATTTAATGTTATTATATGAAATACTTTATACTAGTTCTTCCTTTCTTTCTTTCTTTTACTTTTTCCTTTTTTCATTGGATGATGGGATGTGTGGGTGACATGAAATAGACTTCAATGTCATCTTAACAGACACTTTCTTGGTTCCTTTTTTTTTTGTATTTAATTTAAAAAAGTAAAAAAAAAAAAAAACTTTTTTTCTGGCAATTTAAAAAAAAAAAAAAAAAAAAACTTTGTTCAGTCATAATTCTCAAAGAAATATAATTTCTTAATTGAATTGCGAGTAAGTGTAAATACTGTTTTTGTATTGAATTTATTAAGAAATTATATCAGTTTAAGCGATTTTGCATGATTAAAATTATTTTGTGGGGATGATGGTATAAAAAAAAGAAGAAAAAAGTAAGAAACTTTACTTGGGACACATTAAATTTCCCAGGAGCCACCAAAATTAACACCTGTCGGTCCTGAGAACTCACTACATTAAAAACTTATCAGCATCACTGAGATAATTTATTGATTGAGCGATGAATATTGTTTGAATTGTTTGATTTGATGCAAGTGAAAATGTAGCTCAGCGGTAAGGCATAAAAATATCAGTTTTGAAAAACCGAGGTTATATTTTCCATGTAGGCTTGGGTACTATGAGACTGTAAAAGAAACTAAGTTAAAAAATAAAAAAAGTTCAATATTGTATTTGTAAAATTTGTGATACTTATTTAATTTCTAACAGCAGTATATGTCGAGACAAATATATGATAGAATTAGAAAGCTGTAATATTTGCAGTTTAATTAAAAAAAATATAATCATTTACATATTAAAACCTTTAGCACTCTGCATTATTCACTGGTATGACTTTCTAATGTACATGGCAGTCTTTCTACTGCTGTAGTATAAGTATTTTTGCAGGTGCTAGTAGGGCATGATAAATAACTGCATACTATTGTTTGATGGTTGAAGTTGCTTGAAAGGCAGAAACATTTTGCTCTGCAAAGTCACCAACAGAGTGATAAGTGTTAAGGAAATAAGAAACATTGAAGAGTGAATTTTAAGACTACAAATACTAAATCTCATTGATTATATATTAAAATCAAAGTAGCTAAATTCATCTGGTAATGTTCAAATCTAAGTAAGTGTAATGAAACAAGGTGAGTTATGAATCTTTCAGTCAAATTACCTCTTTAATAACAACTACTTGATGAATGACAAAAGTAATGGTAGACAGACATCCTATTGAATTTGAGATAGGCTCAGTGGGTTTTTACTACAGAAAATAGCACCTTTAGAAAGCAATGAAATTACACCCTTGTCAAAACATCAGACATGGTGATACATATTAAACTTAGGTAGCTTTACCATAATATCTGATCAAAAAGACAAATCCAATTCAATAACAACTATTACCTACCTTGCTTTCACTGATAAAAATTGGTTTATGTAATATATTTAATTTTTTTTTTTAGTTTCTTCTCTTTCTACACTTAACAAAGACCACAGAGTGTACCTTGACACATGGAAGCTCTCAAATATGGTCATAACATCCAGTATTGTATTTTTACCTAATATTTTATATAAGCTGTATGACAAATATGTCATTCTAGGGCATCTCACCCATGACGATCAAGGTTGTCATATTTAAAGAAAATTATCTTTCACTGCTTGTGGATAGCTTATCTTTTTTTTCGTTTAAATCGATTTCACCCCAAGCAAGGTAGTAAAGTAACTGAGACCAAAGGGGTTACTGGAAGAGTTAAAAAACAGGAACATTGCTAAGGAGCAAGAACAAAAGAAGGGTAATCAGGAGGACAGTAGATAGCAATTGACATTGCATCTAAACTTTTGAAGATCAAAGTTGGCTGAAAAGCATGAAGCTAAAAGGGAGTTCCACAAGTGAGAAAAGAAACTATTAGCATAGAATTTTCGGTTACATCTCAGCCAACTCAACTGTAAACTGATGTGACTTCATCATCAGTCTAGTACAGCACTTAAATTCAAAGAGCCTAGGCACTATAGTGAAGAGCCCATCCAAATAATTAAACATCTGACTTTTATAAACTGATCACTGATCCACACTTCATGTGATACCCAAGGCACATGCCATACATGCTCTACCTTAGCTGTGTGTCTTCTATTATATGAGAGGAAATTCTTAATCTTGATATTGTTTAAAAAAAGAAAAAAGTATTTCAATCATTTTGTTGCTTGTGGGAATTTGAGATGAAAAAAAAGAAAAAAAGAAAACAGATTCACATGAAACTTAAAATCACATTGTTTATCATGGGAACTTGCTCAGTTTAATTATGAAGGCCAATGACAGAATTTTTTTTATTGCTAGTCTGACTTCTATTGCTTTCATTCCTACTTTCTTCACACTTAGCTTTTATAGATTTACTACTATTAGTACTTTTGGTTATCTACAATTCAAAAAAGTATTTCATTCTTCTACAGATTTTAAAATTCAAAAATTTTTTTGGCAGATTTAAATGAATACATTAATTTGCATATTGGTAGAAACACAATTAAAAAAAAGCAACATAATTTGAACTGCATCTTGTAATAGACAAATAAGTTGCATAAGTGGACTTCTTTTCATGTTAAAACCATTGTTTTACATGAAGGAGCCACTTTCATATCATACAAATGTAGCACCTTTATAACAATGTTATGCACTTTTAAAAATATTGACCAAATACCTGACCTATGAACAGAGGAAGTAAGTTGTCAGAGAAGTTCTTTTACCACTTGAAAATTTGTGTATAAACATTTTAAGCTCTTTTTTTGTCATTATGCTAAGTTCAATTTCCTACTCTGGACATAGTTGCATAGAGATGACCACAAGACACCCGTTTGAATAATTTTTCAATGTTTATATCAATAATAATTCAGCAAATTTATTATTTTTCCCTTGTTTAAATAATTTGGTACAGTTTTAAGAAAATATAATTAAACAAATTGACTTATTTAGATAATTTCATAATTTTTTTTGCTTCCATTCAATTAATTTGTAGTAATGTGAAATAGCAGACAACAATGCTTATTATGAATGTTGTACATTTTCTAACTTTACTTCTGAATTTAAGACAGAATTAAATACTTTCTATACAAAGAGGATGAATTTAAAAAAATAAAATTGAGAGGAGTATTGTTTACATATGACAATTTTTAGAATTTCAATTTAAAATAAATACAGAAGAAATATTTATTATGCTTTTAAAATTTAAAAATTATGCAAATTAAATATTACTGCTTTTGTTGTAGACACTTTTTGTTAGTAATAAGCACTTTGATGTGGTTTGATGGTCAGCAAGCTTGTAGTGAATTTGATCCTCACTGAATGCAGCATACTTGCAACTTTATGGCACATCTAAGCTATGCTTAGTAAATTGTTATCTATGGCAAATTTGACATGGCATAATGATTAACAAGCTTATCTCACTAGATCAATTATGACCAAGTAGTGACTCTGATCCTCACTGGGTGCTCTGTACTTGCATCCTTATGCCACATCTAAACTTAGTAAATCTCTCTCTCTCTCTCTCTATATATATATATATATATATATTCACAATTCTTCTTTACTTGATTTGTTCTTTACCTCCTCTCCTAGCTCTTTCAGATCACAACACTGTAGTATGTTGATATTTCTTTTGAGTCATCTATTAGAAAGGAACCTCCTATTCACAAGAGTATATTTAGCTAGTAGAGTACTGATCGGGATTCCTGATTTTTTTCAAGACGCCTCTTGGATTGATTTTCTTAATCTTCCTGTTGAGAATTGTACCACAAAGGTTTCTTCTTAGGTTAAAGATGGCATTGATGCTTTTGTTCCTTCTTGTAAATACCACGTGAAACCACAATCTTCTTCTTGATTCACACTGGCCTGTTCAGCTGCTATAGCCCATAGGAATCACTTTTTCTGGGTGTATCAGCATGATAGTCTTCTATTGTGATCAAAACTATTTGTGTCTGCTTGCAATAATTGTAAACCGGTTCTCAAAGAGGCCGTCTTTATTTATTGCCAAAATGAGGCACAATATAGCCTCTAACAAGTTTGGTTCACATGACTACTGGCAGCTCTGTAATAATGTGTTAAATAAGAGTAAGTCTTCTATCGCACATCTCTTCACTCAATTTGAGGTGTTAACATCTGTTGATAAAGCAGAATGTTTTGCTTTTAATTTCTCTTTAAATTCTACTCTTGATTCATCTGGTGTGTCTTTGCCTGACTTTCCTCTTAGAACCGAGTCTCTCTTTTGAGTGATATGCATATGACTCCATCCATGATTTCTGCTATCATCTCTAAACTAGATCTCCACATATGGACTTGATGGTATCCCTGCAATAGTCCTTAAGAAATGTGCTTTTGAACTGGCTCCTGTTTTCTTTAAACCGGACAATAAATGCTGTGTTTCTTGCTTTCCTACTTGTTAGAAATCTTTTTTTCTATTTCCAGTTTTTAAGAACTCAGGTGAATCACCTGAGCCTTCTATCAGCCTATTAGCTTTCTACTGCTTTTTGGCAAAGTACTAGAGGCTCTAATCAACTCTGAATTGGTTAAGCATTTCACCTCTCAGGGTTTTATTTCAGATAAGCAATCTGGCCTCGCATCTCTAGGTTAACTGCTGATGTATTAACAATTATTGCAGAAAGAGTCTCTCAAGCCTTAGATAAAAATGGCAAGGCTTGGGCTGGTAAGTACTGGTTATGTAACACTGTAGATAGTTTTGTTCTACACACATAAAATGGGAAACACACAGACAAAATGTAGCCTTATTACAAATTTATGAGGAACTTAAATTCAGTTGTTTTCTTAATTTAGATTCTCTAGTTGATGTCTTTCAAGCTTTTCTCTGGTCATTTTCTGTAATGTGAATCTTGAATTACATGTATCAGAAGAGAGTTTACCTATGACTTCATAAGAGAAATCCAACATAAAACCTGGCCATGGAAGACAACCAGCAGCAAACACATCTGAAAACAAAGTAATTTTACATTCTTGGCAAAAAATGCCATTATACTGGATTTTACCTTCTAGTTTGAGGATCATGTCATAAGGCTCTGGGCCTAAAAGTCTAGGTTCTTCAGATGCCAAATCTTCTTCCATTTCCTGGGAATTCATCCATTCGATAATATCATTGGGAGACTGGAAAATAAGGAAGAAAATCCATTAAAAAATGTCAAAAGAAGAAAACAAAAAGACTTTAAAATTAATATTCGTACATCCAATGATCAACACCACTTCTTTTATGTGGAGGATCCCTTCAGTATATGTACGATCACAGCTCTCCATGAATTCTTATCCTTTGTAGATCAATGCACTGTTTGTCTCTATACCATCCTTCATGTTTTCATCCATTTACAGAAGCTCATTAGGTAAGTTACTCACTGCTCCTCTTGTCTTCATTATGCCCTGTGAGTGTCAAATTCTCCAAGCCTTCTTTCCTCATTATGTGTCCTAGAAAGTTCAACTAAATGTTTCTGATCCCAAGCACAGATGTCCTTGGTATTTCAATTTTCCTTGTTGCTTGTATGCTCCATCCTTGGTATTCTCAGCATCCTTCTGCACCAGCACATTTGTCATCTTCATGAGCCATCAAATTCCTGTAAATGCTTCTGGTAAAAATTAATTTTTATCTGCCATGAACCAAAACAGGTAAAACAGCTTGTGGTTAAAGTTCTCCAAAATTGTCCTAATCCTTGTCAGTGATCAAAGGAGTTGCTAGGAAAAATTGTCCTTGCCACAACTCATCTTGACAGAAATATAATTTATCACTGCAAAGTGATCAACAAGTGCTTCAGTCAAACAAGCACTGGGCTTTTATTCCCTTGGGATTTCAATCATTGATAGATTTCAGAGAATTTGCATTTGTGTGTATAAGTCTCAAAAGATGAATTAAAAATAAATAAAAATGCATACTCTCTTTTCACAATGAAAAACCATCATACATGTTACACAGAATTACTTTAAGCAAGTTCACCACTTCAATAGCCAGATAAATAAATTGTTTAGTTTAAGGATCATTTATCTTTCACTCAGATTCTGCAGCCCTGAGAATGGTGCTGTACAACTGGAGGTTTGCTTCAGATTCTGAAAGGTGACTTACATGCCTAAAAGTATTATATCAACACCTGCAATTAATGTATTACTGTTGTAAGCAGGATAATGTTACTGGGTTTTTTCATGCATGTTCTTTTGTGTTAGAGTTTATTGTTAAAATCTCATATGTGGAAAGCAAGAGAAAATAGGTGAATGAGATGGGGGGGGGGGCTGAGTGATAAAGGAGAGAGAGAGAGAGAGAAAGAGCAATAAAGGAGATAGAGAGAGATAAATGAGAGTGATAAATGTGAGAGAGAGAGAGAGGAGCAAGAGAGCAACAAGTGTGAGAGTGAGCGAGAAACGAGAGAAACAAGAGAGAGCGAGCGAGCGAGAAACGAGAGAGAGAGAGAAACCAGAGAAAGAGAGCGAGAAACCAGAGAGAGAGAGAAGAGTTAATGAGAGGGCAAGAAACAAGAGAGGGAGCAAGTGAGAAACAAGAGAGAGAGAGAGCGAGAAACGAGAGAGAGAGAAACGAGAAATGAGAGTGAGAGAGAAGAGTTAATGAGAGGGCGAGAAACGAGAGAGAGAGCGAGAAACGCAAAAGAGAGAGAGAAGAGAATCACGAGAGAGAGAGAAAGAAACAAGACAAACAAGAGAGAGAGAGATAGAGAAACGTGAGAGAGCAAGAGAAGAGCAAGACAGAAGAGTTAGCGAGAGAGAGCGAGGAAAACAAGAGAGAGCTAGAGAAAAGAGAGAGCTAGAAACAACAGAGTGAGAAACAGAGAAATAATAGAGAGAGAGGAAAACGAGAGAGTGAGAAAGAAAGAGAAACAAGAGAGAGAGAGAGAGACAAACAGAGACAATCAAGAGAGAGAGCAAAAAAAAGAGAGAGAAGCAAGAGGGAGAGAGAAGGAAGAGAGAAACGAGAGAGCAAAAAACAAGAGAGCGAAAAACAGAGAGAGAGAGCGAAAAACAAGAGAGAGAGAGCGAAAAACAAGAGAGAGAGAGTGAGCAAGAAAGGAAAGTGCAAGAGAAAGGAGGAGAAAAAGAAAGCTTTTTTATTTCATCAGAATGGTATGAACAATATTTCTTCATTCTTTATTTTTTCTGCTATGATTAAAAACTTTGGACCCTCAATCGGAAAAATATTAATGAATATCAATCTTTTTTCTTCTTTTGACACTGCCATTATGGCCAGTTGGAGATTATAAACTACCATTAAAGTAGTTTCCCCTGACTTTCTAGTATCAGATAAAACCTCTCAGGCAAATTGGGCATTTCGTTATCATAATATTAACAATAATATAAAAAACACACAAGATTTTGGTTTTGATTCAATAAACTTGTTGATAAAATTTTCAATATTTATATATGTTGAAAATGCTGATCAGACAAGAATGGTTAAGTTGGTTGATTTTACAACATACTACACAGTAGTAATAGTCAACTAGACAGGCTTCATTAACCATCAACTCATACCAAAGTGTCCCTAGATAAGGTGAGTTAAATGGTGTGAAACTATTAAAAAAAATTGCCTGGAAAATATGTAAGAACTACCAATCCTAATTCCATAGGATTTACTGCATAGTATTTGTAACATTAACCTTTAACATACCGGAGGAGATTTTGCTTGCAAAGCAAAAATTTTATCCTGCTACTACAAGTAACTCAGATGAATGAATAGCAGTATGTTTGAATTTTGCAGTTGTGTTGTCATATCCTGCTACAGCAACAGAAAGTGACCATGACTGAAATTAAGTAGTTCAGTAGAGGAGCCTTGAAAAACCATGCAATGGAAAGTAATGTAGTGAATAATGCAGTGTGTTAAAAGGTGAAGAGGAGCATTGTTCTGCAGTAGAGAAAAAAAATATCACCAGTCAAATTCCTTATTCTTCTGTTTTAAGGCCTCCTTCAAAAAGGTGCAAGTTGCTTGGTTGTATAGTAACAGTTACATTCACCAGTAACTCATAATAAATAATTATTTTTGTTGAATCTTACCAAACACAAAACTTGGTGAAGGGCATTTGGGATATGACCAAAATTTTCTTTATTTTGGATTAACTATCTGGTGTTTAAAAATGATTATTCAGTATCAAAGAGGAGAAATGTCTGTATTTAAATGTTGACTGATGTTCCTTTCTGTAAGATTATGTAGAACTTATTAGCTTCAGAATTTTTCATAAGGATTGTAAACAATGAACTACAATTGACAATGAATAAGCAACAAACAGCAGGATAAATTCCAAAGACACCTCTAAGATTTCCCTATAGAAAGGGAAACTTTGGCATTCTCCTAATTAAAAGAAAAAATATCAGATTTTAAGCAACCAAGTGTGGAAAGAGACTGCAAAGTCTGGTTTAAATTCTACTCAGCATCTATTGTCTAAAGATTACTATTCACTTATTAATCCCTTAACTGTAACAGAATATTTTTTTATCTGCAATTCAGTCATAGAACTGTTATGATGAAAATTCCAGTCACTCAGAGTGAATGGTTTAAGATTAAGAATACATTTATGCACACAAGTATATATATATATTTAGATAGGCATCAATACACCACTCCATATATGATGAAGAGAGCTGATAAGCAACCTGGTTCTTTGAGGTAGTAACTTCGACCTCTTGGTATTTAAACCTTTGCTATTCTACTGAATTTTTTTCTGGAAATGTATCAAATTTCGTACAATCCAGGCACATTTTTCTACAATGATTCTGAAGGAACAGTTGCATGACTAACTCATCCTGATTTACTTGGGTAAAGCCAAACTTAAACTAATACACAGGCAGGCATATTAAATATTATTTATTTTGGTTTAATTTATGCAATGGAATGCACCAGGATATCCTGGTATTGTACAGGATATGCTGGCTTAAGACAGATATGAATTATAAATGTCTTTGTCACACTGACATTTCAATTATTCATTTTGCCTCAATTATATACTTTAATACAAGAAACAACACACTGATCCACTGTAATAATTTTTTTTTTTAAATCTATAAAATAAAATGTAAAAAACAAAAAAACAAAAAAAAAACAAACAAATCTTAATATTCCAAGCTCAACCCTGTAAAAAAAAAAAAAAAAAAAAAAATTAAAATTAAAAAACTAATATATTTGAACCCTGACATAACGCCATCTGCCAGCATTGTCACATTTGGTTGTCTGCCTTTGTTATTTAGAGACATACAAAAGTAGAATCTTACTTTATCATCAGTTAGTATTTCTTGTGTACTAACTGGATTTGTATTTTACTGTTTGTCTCCCATTAGAAATTGTTTTACAAGTCTACTTATGTTTTCTAACATTAAATTTATTAAACTATAAAGAATTTACAACAACTGTCAGCACAGATAGTGGAATTGGTAAACGGAGTTTAAATTCCACCAAGACAATTGCATTCTCTTTCCCAATAATGCCATTGGTGAAAAATGTGAATTCATCTCTATTCCTCTCAGCTATGGATTAAATAGCAGGATTGTTGAAGCCTGTTAAGTGCCAGAAAGAAAGACAAGGAAAGCAGAAGGTAGGTTAAACTAGTGTATTGAAATGACAGAACATATATACAAAATAAGAGTGTTATATTAGTCAGCAGATAGAAGTGTCCGTCCGAACTATCAGATTACACTGCATCCTGACTGCCTCCCTTAGGAAGTCTCAGAGGTTAGTATTTATGGAGGAGGAAGAGTTCATTCTAATGTAGATAGGTCACTATAATACCCCACTCCTAAAATTTTAACTCTGCAGGAGTCTGAAGAAAGAAAAAAATTTTTTCCCTTTTTTATATTAAAGTTCTGAGGCTGTATATGTAGCTGTAAAAATGTTTCACAAAAATTAACCTTGAGGAATATTTTTATAGAAAGTTTACCAACTTTTGAGTGGTTTTCTTCCAACTGACTTGTTTAATTTATAGAGAAAACAAGTGTTTCCTTTTTTAAAACTGGTTAAGTATTTAAAACTTGGCTGACTTGTTTTACCAAGTTCAAAGTAGAACAACTTTGAGAACTTTTATTTGTTTGTGGTTTCAATACCTTTTACGTTTAGGATTGACGACTATTAAATCAGTTGCTTTCCTTTTTCTCTTAGAATGGTGCATTTTGGG